GAAGATTTTTGCTTCCATGTTTATCAGGGATATTGGCCAGTAGTTTTCTTGTTTTGTTGTTGTTGTGTCCTTGTCTGGTTTTGCTATCAGGGTAATAATGCTAATCTTGCAGAGCTAGAGAGTTAGAGAGAGTTCCCTCCTCTTCAGTTTTTGGAATAGTTTGAGTAGGACTGATATTACTTCTTGTTTATACATTTGGTAGGATATTGCAGTAAATACATCCAATCATGTCTTTTTCTTTGTTGGAAGATTTTCATCAATCTTGCTCAGTGTTGCTACTCATTATTTGTCTGCTCAGGTTTTCTATTTTTTCCTAATTCAAACTTAGTTCAAACGTGAATAAGTTTGAAACTTAGTTCAAACAAAGTTGTATGTTTCTAGGAATTCATCTCCTCTAGGTTTTCCAGTTTGTTAGCATAAAAGTTTGTTAGTTGTTTATAATAGTCTCAGATGAGCTTTATTTTATTTTATTTTTTTTTGGTGGTATCAGTTGTAACGTCTCCTTTTTCATTTCTGATTTCAGTCATTTGGAGCATCCCTCTTCTTTTCTTGGTTAGTCAGGCTAGTAATGTATTAATTGTGTTTATTTCTTCCACACTACAAATCTCATTAAACTTTTAAAAACTGAAATTACGGCTGGGTGGGGTGGCTCATGCCTGTAATCCCAGCACTTTGGGAGGCCAGGGCAGGCAGATCATGAGATCAGAAGTTTGAGACCAGCTGAACCAACATGGTGAAACCCTGCCTCTACTAAAAATACAAAAATTAGCCGGGCATGGTGGCGCACACCTGTAAGCCTAGCTACTCAGGAGGCTGAGGCAGGAGAATTGCTTGAACGCAGGAGGCAGAGATTGCAGTGAGCCAAGATCGCACCACTGCATTCCGGCTGGGCGACACAGTGAGATTCCGTCTCAAAAAAACAAAAAACAAAACAAAACCTGAAATCATACCAGGTATCTTCCTGGACCATAGTAGAATAAAACTAGAAATAAATTCTAAGAGGAGCACTTGAAACTGTGCAAATACATGGAAATTAACATATTCCTGAACAAATTTATTTTTGATTGGGATCTGTTGCTGGGGAATTATTGTGTTTCTCTGGAGGTATCATATTTCCTTTTTCATGTTTTCTAGTATCTTTCCATTGATAACTGTGCATCTGGTATAACAGTTAAGTCTTCCAATTTTTAAATTTTGCTTTTATGGGGAAAGATTTTTTTTTAAAGATACGTCTATGGTGGTAGTTGGGTAGGGCACTTTGGCTTTGGTTCTGGGTGCATGCAATAGCGTAGTTTTGAAACCTCCTTTGCAAAATTATAACAGTAAGAGAAATCTGACATGGCTGACTCCATCTTACTTCTAGCCTCACAGGTTGGCTGGCTATGCTCATTCCTGGACATTAGTCAAGCTAACTTTGAGAGAAGTTTATGGTTTTAAGTGATAATAGTCCTTTCTCAAAATCAGACTGTTCCTATAAAACTAATGACAGGGCCGGGCGCGGTGGCTCACGCCTGTAATCCCAGCACTGTGGGAGGCCGAGGCGGGTGGATCACAAGGTCAAAAGATGGAGACTATCCTGGCCAACATGGTGAAACCCCGTCTCTACTAAAAATACAAAAATTAGCTGGGCGTGGTGGCATATACCTGTAGTCCCCGCTACTCGGGAGGCTGAGGCAGGAGAATTGCTTGAACCCGGGAGGTGGAGGTTGCAGTGAGCCAAGATTGTGCCACTGCACTCCAGCCTGGTGCCTGGTGACAGAGTGAGACTCTGTCTCAAAAAAACAAAACAAAACAAAAACAAAAAACTAAGGACAGGCTGCCAAGTTAGGAGGATGAGAGGGGCTTGAATTCTAAATAATTACCAGCCGTTATTTGGAAGTCATGAGATTTGCAAGTTCCTCAGTTCCTTGAGATAACATCACTATTGTAGAACCTGAGATCGGCCTTTTGAGATTTCTTTTCATGGTTTTTTTTTTTTTTTTTTTTTTTTTTTTTTTTTGAGATGGAGTCTTGCTCTTTTGCCATGTTGGAGTACAGTGGCATGATCTTGGCTCACTGCAACCTCTATCTCCCGGATTCAAGCGATTCCCGTCTCAGCCTCCTAAATAGCTGGGACTACAGGCACGCACCACCACTCCTGGCTAATTTTTTGTATTTTAGTAGAGATGGGGTTTCACCATGGCCAGGATGGTCTCAATCTCCTGACCTCCTGATCCGTCTGCCTCAGAAATTATATATCCCCCTCCCGAAGTGCTGGGATTGCAGGCCTGAGCCACCACACCTGGCCTGTCTTTTCAGGTTTTTGCATTTCTGACAAATAGATGGCCGCACCTGGGCCCTCACCCAGGAGCTGACTCAGCACAAGAGGACAGTTTGATTCCCTATGATTTGATCTCTGACCCAAGCAATCGGCATGCCCCCTACCCTGCCTCCAGACCAGGAGGTTGCCCCCTAGCCCACCAAACTATCTTTGAAAAACCCTGTAACCTTGGAGCCTTCATTGAGATCGATTTGAGTAATAACTCTATCCCGTGTGGTGTGGCCAGCCTCAGATCAATTTTGTTTATGCAACGGGCAGGAAGAACCCGCTGGGCAGTTACAGTGTCTGTAATTTCTTTGGCTGTAAACAGCATCCATGGTGTCAGTGATTTCTTCTGTGGCTCAGAATGTGGTTGTTAGTGGAGACTGTGGTGAAGTTTTGCTGGAGACCAGGGCACCAGGTAGGCCAGTTTTGGGGCCCCAGTGGTGGCAGCAGTGAAGTGAGCATGGCTGTCCTTGGACCCCAGGATGTACGCTGTGACTGGTATTAGTAAGCCCAGGCAGGCTGCTTCTTGGGCCTCCAGATGGCTTGCTTGGGTGTCAAGAATGGCAGTAATGGGCCAGGTGGATCGACGGGTTCTCAAGTGTCTGGGCAGTGAGATGTGGTGTGGGCAATGGCAGTAGCAGTGGTGGGACAATTCTCTGGGACCCCAATGGTCCTCACTGGTGTTGGTGGTAGCTACCATTGGTTGGGCAAGCCAGTCACCAGACCTGCAGGTGGCATGTGTGGGTGGGTGCCAGCTGTGGTGGTAGCAACAGGTTGAGTGGGCCTAACCTTAGATGCTGGGAGGAGTGCTCATTTGCCACTGGTGGTGGACTGGGCTGTGTGGTTCCCAGGCTCCTGGACGATGTGCCCAGGTGTTACAGGGGTAGGAGCCAGGCTGGGCAGTGCCCTCAGGCTCCCCAGTGGTGCATGCAGATGCTGACTGTGGTGGGCCAGGGTGGAGTGATGCCAGGGCCGGAGGCAGAATGCCACATTGGGCTGTAGCTTTCCTAGTGATGAAAGCAGAGTTGTTTTTCTTTGTCCTCCAGAAGTTTGAAAACACATGGCTGCCCCTCTACTGGGGGAAGATGGCTACCTGGGACTGCTGTTGCTGCCCAGGCTCAGGCAGCTGCCCAGGATGCAGTCTGGCATCTGCTGGGCTCTCAAAATGGTGCTGTGCTGCAGCTGCTTAGGACTTCGGAGTTGGTGTGACCCACCGCGAGTTCTCTTTCTCGGGTAATGCCTTCATGTGGTTTCCAGAGGAGCTCCCTGTGTTAATCTCATGGCCTATGAGGGTCAAGGGGCTCTCCCATGGCTAGGACTGTAGGAGTCAGCAGTGGGAATATGAACTGCTGGGGATCTCTCACTTACTCTTCTCCCTCACTAAGGTCCTCCCCAGACTTTCAGCTGGTCCCAGCCAAACAGGTAGCCTTGCTTCCCCTCCTTCCTTGTTTTTGGTGCATCTGCTAGAGTAGGAAGGTGGGTAGGTAGGCAAGAGCAGGGCAGGAGAGGCACCCCGCCCAGGAATGTCTGGTGACCATCAGGTGATTGTTAAATCGTCTCTGTAAAATAATAATGGGTTGCAGCTGGCGCCAGCAAACAGCAGGCTCCCAATAGGAAACACCTGGAGCTGGTGATCGTCAGCTTCCCAGTAAAGTCTCAGGAGTTGGGTGAGCAGGCTCAAGCTTGTGCACTGAGGCAGAATGGAGGTGTTTAACGGGTATATGACCTTCCTCTAGGAACACCTGACTGATAATGAAAAAGAGGCCTTAAATGAGCATGTGCACAACTTTAGTAAACACTCTGCGCGTGTGGCCCGCCAAGTGCTACCAGGCCACTGTGCGTGTGGACAGCCCACCCCAAGGGAAAATCCGGGGAGGAGAGACACAGACTCCAGAACCAGGCCCCTGCGTAAATCCCAAGTCCAAGGCTGAATGGGGCACTGGGATCTCTCAGGTAGCCCGCTATAAGTTGATTTGATGTACACGCTATTTTAATTTTTGCAAATGATTTTTTGGTTTTTCTTTTCTTTTCTTTTCTTTTCTTTTTTTTGAGACAGAGTCTCACTCTGTCACCCAGACTGGAGTAGAGTGGCACAGTCTTGGCTCACTTTAACCTCCACTTCTCAGGTTCAAGTGATTGTCCAGCCTCATCTTCCCAAGTAACTGGGACTACAGGCACGTACCACCACACCCATCTAATTTTTTGTATTTTTAGTAGAGACAGTTTCACCATGTTGGCCAGGCTGCTCTCAAACTCCTGACCTGAAGTGATCTGCCTGTCTTGGCCTCCCAAGAAAATCGTTTTTAATTGGATTATTTTATAAGTCCATCAATATGATGTTAATTTATTGATTGATAAATAAAAATTTTAAGTAAGTATACAGCTCTTCAAGTGCCCCCTTTTACTCTCTAATGGGTACCAGTTTGGACATCAAATTACATGTTCATCCTTATTATAGCTGAAACAATAAGATTCTTAAACTATTGTCTGTTCCCTAATGTAAACTGGAAGAAACCAGGGCACCAAGCCATTCATGTTTTGGATAGATACGCACTGGAGATGTTCATGATATGGAGAGTTAGAGCAGAAAGGAATCAACAAGGAGATAAAGGAGGACTCGTAAACATTTCCCTATATGTACAAAACAAAGTTTTTATAAATAAATAAGTATATTGAGTTACTGTGTGGATCTTACCTCTAAATTCATCAGCAAGATTCTTGAGACTTGGATTCTGAAATTTGATATACTTATCTGTCCACCATGTAAGTCCAGTCTTTAGCATTGGCACTTTGATTTGTACAGAGGAATTAATGTTGTATGAAAGAATGATGGTGTCTATAAGGAAATTAAAATTGTGTTAGAGATGCAGCCTAGTAATTTTGCCACCCTTTGAAATGCAGAACCAGACACAGCTGACAAATGAATCAGGGATTTTGCAGACTCTCAACATGCTTACATGCCATGGATGCTGGAATCACAAGACCATTCTTTTTCCTGCCAAAATTGAGCCAATTATTGAAAAATACCCGTAAGCTCCATTTAACTCATGTTCCCTGACTATTCCTTCAGATTTCTGGCAAGAGAGAAATTATTTGCAAATGACATATGGTAAGTCAGTGCTCTGGCTCAGCACAGATGATGTTTACAGAATTAAAACTAAACAAAACAAAAAACTGCCACTTAGCTTCAGAAGTAAATTTCTGGACGCTTAGCTTGTTACACACTCATCAAAGGGTACACGATGGAGATAGGAAAGTCACCTACCATTGAACATGCTGTTGGCAATAGCACCACAAGGAACAATGGGGGTGTCATTGTTGGATGTTTTAAATGGGTAGCAGTTCTCAACAGCCTGGATGCAAGAGGATACAGCAATGAGAAATGCTTTGGGTAAACTTTTAGAATGTTAAAAGTGAGATCACTGGCAATGTCAATCACCGCCCCCCTCCCACCCCAATGACTTATTGGCAGTGACTAAGATTGCAGACTGCTGCCTGGTTTTCCTAGGTTTCTGATTTACTTAGACTGGAAAATTTTTGTGTCTTGGTGATGTGTATGTGTGTGGGTATGTGTCTCTGTGTTTTTTCCTCATTAATAATATATAGCATACCGGCTGGGCGTGAGGGCTCATGCCTGTAATCCTAGCACTTTGGGAGGCCGAGGTGGGTGGATCACCTGTGATCAGGAGTTCAATTTAAGACCAGCCTGGCCATCATGGTGAAACCCCATCTTTAAAAAATTAAAAAAAAAAAAAGAAAAAATATATATAGCATACCAAAAATGTCTGCAAGAAATAACTTTACCTTATTGGTTGTGCTATATCTCATGCTAAACCTATAATGAAATACATTTTAAAATCTCTTTTTATTGACATGTAATTTATTTCATTTTAGTGGTTTAGAAAAGCAGTCACTTATTTTTCACTCGTATTACTATCTGATGGGTGGTTGGAGGTGGGGGACACTGTTCCACTCAGTCACTCAGGGCCTCGGCAATATTGAAATATAACTTACATTCAGAAAAGTAACAAATCGTGAGTCTACAACTAGATGATTTATCACAGGGAATCAATCCATCCACACAACTACCAAATACATTTTTAAAAGAGGGGTTGCTAAAAAATCACTCGTATTAACAACGTCACTATGGAAAAAGTTTCATTCTAGCTTATCTTGCTAGCACACTGAGTATCATTCACCAACGTATAGGTTTGAAAAGGTATTCGATTAAAGCAAAAGGCTTTTACTCAATCGAATGTAGCCTACTTTCCTTAAGTAGGCTGGATCAAGGCCCCCATGACAGGAAGGACAATGGTAGTTAGGCTCAGCCAGGCTGAGACTAATTACTCAAGGTTGCTGTCAAAATGGTGCATGAAAGGATAATCATCACTGCTCTAAAGAGGGGAAGTGCTACTTTTCAATAACAGTTGTTCTGAATACCCAGCCCCTTCAATTTACACAAGAATGAAATCGGCATTTCTGTTTTGTAAACCCTTAGCTTTTGAGTTTATTTTCCATCTTTTAGACTGAAAAATCCACTTGGTTGAAAAAAAAAAAAAAAAAGGGACTATACCAAATTAAATCAAGCCTTACTTTCACATCTTTGCCCACCAATTGTCTATTACTTCTGGATCGAATGTATCGATACAGGTTCTGATGGAAGCCATGCAATTTGTAGTACATATAAACCTTACCCTGTGTGGGAGAAAAGCAAGAAGTGAGAGGAGAGTAAGGGAAATTAACTGCAATATTAACAAACATAGACAACGTTTTTCTTTTTTTGCAGACGGAGTCTTGCGCTGTCACCCAGGCTGCAGTGCAGTGGCATCATGTCCACTCACTGCGACCTTTGCCTCCCGGGTTCAAGTGATTCTCCCGCCTCAGCCTCCAGAGTACCTGGGACTTCAGGCATGTGCCACCACGCCCAGCTAATTTTTGTATATTTAATAGAGACGGGATTTCACCATGTTGGCAAGGATGATCTCAATCTCTTGACCTCGTGATCTGCCCAACTTGGCCTCCCACAGTGCTGGTATTACAGGCATACACCACCACGCCTGGCCTAATATACAGGAAATTTTAAAATAAAAGCACAAAAAAAAATTGATAGGAGCTGAAAGTCTATTTATGGGAAATAGAAACCCAATAAATCATTTTAAGAAAATCAATGTTGGGGCTGGGCACAGTGGCTCATGCCTATAATCCCAGTGCTTTGGGAGGCCAAGGCAGGAGAATCACTTGAGGCCAGGTGTTCGAGACCAGCCTGGGCAACGTAGCAAAACCCTGTCTCTCCAAAAAAAGAAAAAAAAAAATTAGGCTGCTGTGGCATGCGCCTATAGTTCCAGCTACTCCAGAGGCTGAGGAGAGGATCCTTTGAGCCCAAAAGTTCAAAGTCACTGAGCTATGGTGCTATTGCACTCTAGCCTGCGTGACAGAGTGAGATCCTGTCTCCAAAAAAAAAAAAAAAATTAACACTGGGAAATCCTGGTCTATACAGAATTGTTGAAATAACTAAATATCTAGTTTTGCATGTTTTTGTAAGGGCTGCTGCTTTCTGGCCTTAAAAACTTTTTATAATCAAGCATATTTTCAATACATAAAATTTAGTTTTGTAAATATTGTCATTTCTGAGAAATACGAGGAGAAATGCTTTGCCTAGAGGTTGTGGTTGACACCAAAAATCACGTGATTTTACAGCAAATCCATGAAATAGAATTAAAAATTCACGCCATTGATCATGTTTAGGCGCGTGTGCACACTGAGCACGTGAAAGCCTGAGACTAGAAGCTCCGTGCAGTCCCACTCTAGGCATTTTTGTTTGTTTAATCTCTAGGATCTAACACTGTACCTGGCACCTAATACTTGCTTAAGAACTGGCGAACTCTTTGTTGTAGAGAAAAAGGTGGAGTGGTTCACTGATCCAAAAGAAAGAACGTGATTTTCACCCTAGCAATAAGGGTGCAAATCCTTATTGTCATGCGAGAATGACCTTTTTAATGCTGCCATGTAAGTAAGGCTCCCCAGCCACAACCCATCATCATGGTTCCACCTTTATGGTGATACATTGAGGCCTTGGAAATTCTCCAGGCCGACTTGATGCAGATTTTACTAATAGCACATGCGGAAATATCCATATGGATTTAACTAACATATTCATAGATTTTCCTACCAGCACATATAGAAATGTCCAATGTAGCTGTTTAAAATTAATATACTCCATACCTCTGAAATAATGAAGACCTGCATCCAGGAATGTAAAAGCCTAACTTTTATTAAGTGCTTCCCATGTGTTAGGTGCCATATTCAGTGCTAAAAGTACATAAGCATTCCAAGTCCCTGAGTCCATTAATTCCTTTACCCTGTGCAAAAACAGCATTTTGGAAAGGAAGTTGGCCTTATTTCTTAAGGACCTTAACGAGCATCCTCTTTAAGATGGGTATGGAAAATGGGACGTGGTACCCATGGTAAACAGGGAAGGAAAGTCATGGTAAATGTGGCCAGCTTTAGAATGCAAGAAAGGCTGAAGAGCTAAGTCACTTGTAAGAGAATAATTTCGGGAACACTGAAAAAGGGAGATGCTGGGTCACGATGAAGAAGCAGGCTGCCTCATAGTCAACAGGGAGCGTTGGCAGGAAGGCAGACAAGTCAGGCTTAGTGGAAGAACCCATGACATTTCTTCACCCAAAGCAGGAACCTCTATTGTTGACCCATGACTATAGAAAATATGAAATCCACAGAATGGAATTTCCCATACATTTTCCTGGAAGCTGAGAAGGGAATTCTACTTAATTAGAGTTATATGTTCACATAAATGACAAAATAAACAGGCAAAGAACATTCAGCACACTAGGGACTGGGGTGTTTCAATGATCTCTTTTCAATAATTCTTTGTCCAAGATTTAGCTGAACAAGACCTCCAAGATCACCATCTTTTTGATGACTCCTGGAGGCACAATTTACTTTATGATATTTCTTCTCTTTAAATTCAGTGGCACTTTGTGCAGGATTTCTTTGCTTATTTTGAGACGGAGTCTCGTGTGGATTTATTGCCACGGTTCCCCGCATGTCATGTATGGTAACTGCCGAGCTGAAGGCCCCGTGATTGCTCTGAGTAGTTTAGTGGGGTTTTTACGGGAAGGCTCTGCCTGAAGGGAATGCTCAGCAGCTGGTGACACTTCATTTGCTGTTGTAGTTTTGAAGGACACTGACAGATGGGAACTCAAGTCCTTTTGGATTTTTTTTTTTTTTTTTCCAAAAACTTCAGCATTCTGAGCCCTCAAGACGAAAGGAGAGAGGAGAGAAGAAAGGAAGGAAGGAGGGTCGGAAGAGAGGAGGAAGAGAGTGCGGGAGGAAGGGCTAAGACTGCAATACTTTCTCAAAGTCTCAGCAAGGCTGACAGGAAGTCCCCAAAGGCACCCATCAGAGGAGTCCCCTCTCCCAGGAAAGAACCTACCTCGATGTCCCTACTGTGCCGTGGAAGCATGGCCTTGGCGCAGACACACGGGGATTTCAGAGCACACAGCTGGGGACATCCCTCCATGACACTCCCTGCAGCAGATCTGAGAGGAGCCTTTGCACTGGCCTCCACAGTCTTACTTGTTAGTCAAGACTTAATCAAATGACAATTTTGATTTCCTTCAACTCCTCAGTTGTACTTTAAGGTCCTATTCTGTTTCTGGATTCTGCACCTCTCCCCCCTGCAGCATCCTCCACACTGAGCTGGTCCCCCATCCTTCCCCTTCATAAGTGACTCTACAGGGAGGCCTCCTCTTGAGCTGCCCACTGAGGATTCTACCTCAAGGTCCTGCTTCCATCTCAACTCAGCTTGTTCCAAACCAGACTTATCATCTCCTGGAAAATATTCCTCACTTCTCTCCTTCCCTCTCTCCTTCCTTCTCTCCTCCCTTCTCCTTTCTAAATTCAGAGCTCTCCCAACCTCCTCCTGCTCCCTCCCCATTTTCCGTCAAAGGCTTCCCCAGTAAACTTCTTGGATGTCTTACCCTGTCTTGGCAGCTGCTTCTCAGAGGACGTGACTAACATGAGACTTAAATCAGCACACGAATGGGGACTTCTCTTAATATTTCTTTGGCATTTCTCACAATGCCTGACAGCCAGGCTGTCTGGTTTTCAGTTAGGCAATTGCACACGTGGAATGACTTGGGGAGATCCAAGGATGGCTTCCCCAAGTGTGTGAGCCCTGACATCGACCTCAGTGTGACCTCAGCCAAGTCACTTCACCTCCAGCCCATTAATTTTCTCACTAGTGAGTGGTTAAATTCAATGTTAATTCACACATGGTCCCTGTGCTGACATTTAGAGTAAAATCTGTTTGATGGATAAGATTTATGTTACAAAGTTGGATAGGTAAAGAATCTTGCAACTTAGAAACAAAGAAACGAAGGAGGAGAATAATACTCAAAAAGGAGGGAGGAGATACGAACTCAACAATCTTTCGGATTCAACACCACCATCCTGCTTTACTTTTTATATTTTCAGTTTTGGAAAGCGTCTGATGGAAAGTGAGAACTTACTGCCTAGTGTTACATAGGAGTAGATCAGCATAAAGTCAACTGAAGTTTCTTGAGTTTCACTCACCTTCATTTTTTCTGAAAGGTAAAAGGGAATCGAGCAGGTGCATTCTTTGTCAAAATTAGAGGCAGTTTCCCGCAGTTTTGCACAATTTGCACATGTTCTTGTGTAATTAATCTGTCAGGCAAGGAATAAAACCAGTGATTAATTAAAAAGTTACATGGGAACATATCTTAACATTCAAACCTGGAGCCCACCCAAGTGTCTGCCTGTCTGGATCAGGGCCATGGAGTCTGGGCCACGCATGGGGCAGCCCCCTGCGCAGGGCCAGTGTTTCCGGAGATGTTCAGGAGGCGTGGGCCTTCTTACAGTCTTTCATCTGGGGACTTGGCTGCATTTTGCTACTGGCCCAGCATTCAGTGTTTCTGCTGCATATTTATATAACCTGTTGTGATGAAGCTTTACCCCGTATCATAAAGAGGTGTCAGTTGCTTGGAAGGTATTAGTCAATGACTCATGAGAACTAGGCTTACAACCTGGGTCTAATCAACTTTATGGGGAAATGGCTTCACTGTTTTTCCATTCTATTGTATGGAAAATATTTATACTAGCGAATTATTCTACATGTCATCCAGAGGAAGTCACTAAAAGTGACCAAACAGAAAAAGAAGTGTTTCCAAAATGTAAGATTATCGACATGCGTCAAATTATTATGGTTCTAAAATTCTGTTCCATTCTGTTTTTTAAAAGTAAAATGCTGTGAAAAACGGTTTCATGGACTCCTTAGAAAGGATAAAAAGAAGGGTAGTATGTCCCAAATGGGTGGCTCCTGTGAGCTCTGGCTGAGGCACCGAGTTCTGTGAAGATGCAGCTAGAAGGGTGAGGGAGAGAGACTCGGGCAGGTGGGCTTAGGGCTGTACTGCTGCCTTTATCTGCAAGAATGCTCATCTCCGGGGCCCTGGGGCTGGCATGGGTGCTGCCGTGGGCTGCTTCTGCCTTGCCCTCATTGTGTTGAGGAGTGATTAGATGATTATGGGAGTACAGAGGAGCAGGGAAGCAAGAGGGTGGCTTTCTCCTTGAAGTTAGGACTCTTTGGGAGAGAGGATTAACAAGGAAGACGGAAGGAACTTGGCATCCTTGTAAAGCTTCTAAGGGTTTTGAAGCCCAAACCTGAAGTGTGAACACTGAATTGCAGTTTTGTGAAAATGCTACACTTCATTGTACTTAGATGCTTATATTTAGTTAAATCATTCTTAAAATACTCAGCAAGGCTTGGACTATTATTTAGAAAACATTTACATCCTTTCTGTTTGTAGACTACATTTCAGTTGATAAAAAGCACCAAAGAACAGGGCTGTATCCTTATGGAGAGACAACATACAGAGTGGTGTCTGAAGAAACGGGGGTTCTAGTTCAGCCAGTCTCCGACCTTGGGTTAAGCGCTTAACCTCTAGGGCCCACATTTTGCCCATCAGCATCATTTCATGTAGCAATTCATTGATCTGTGAGCTCACTGTAGTAGTATACATGCTAATTCATGAATTCTTCTTGTGAATTCAAGAAAATATTTCACGATCAAATAATTTTTGAGTAGTTGGTATCCATGGTGCTTTCTTGCCTAAAAATTATCCCTGATCTATTGTCTGTGTAATCACAGTTTGCTGCTTGAGTGGATTGGTAAGTCAATAGCTATGAGATGGAGCCTAGATCACGTCAGCTCCTCATGGAATTTTGGAAAGGCAGAGGTTATTCTTGTTTAAAGTGAACTGCAGAGAGAGCACTTCCTTGTGCCCCAGGGCTGAGTGATAAGAGGAAAGGCTAACGCAGGAAGTCTTTTCTGTGCTATCTGTACCTGATCACGTGGGTCTGGAGGGTGCACTCCATATTGTCACCCAATATAATGAGACACTGGTTTTCAAGTACAAAAGTGGAGTGTCAGAAGCAATCTAAAGCAACTAAAGAAACAAAGTCAGCTGGAAAATGCCCATAATTTCCATGAGATAAAAGCATTCTGTTTGCGGAGTGGCCGTGGCCAGTAGTCAGTGATGGCATGAGGTCACCACCTCATGCATGGCTGCCTCTTAATGAAGGCTGCACTCCACAATGGGTGGATGGGGGGAGGGGTAACAAGGGAGGAAGTAAGAGTGACACAGGAAGGAAGGAAGAGCCAGAAGGAAAGAGATTGGCGAGGAAGAGAGTAGAAAAGTAAATTGCATGAACTCTGTGGAAATGGCCATCAGCCTTGTTAGCCCATTCCTTTGCTGTCCCCTTCAGCAAGGCAAGGTTCATGTCCTCCTGCCATTTGGCCTCTGCCGCATGGTGGAGCCTGGTGGGAGTTTACACATAGCACTGGAGGACTTGCTGTCATTTGAATTCCCAGGGAGATAAGCTGCTGGGAGCCTGGAAGTCTAAGTAGAGAGGCAACGGAGCAGTGTGCCTTGTGGGGAGTAGAGCCTGGAAAGACGCTTTTCTCTCTGCCTGCACTGTCTGCCCTAGCCCATTCTTTCAGTGAGTGTGTGCCATCATGTACCAGGCAGTGGGCAAGGAAGGGGGTGGTGACGCAGTGAACAGCCAGCCAAGGGTATTTTACCTACTCTCTCCTTAGCTCATTGAGGGCACAAATTCACTCTTCCTCATCTAACTTATCTGCACAGTCAGCAGAACCCTTTGGCACCTTCAGACACTCATAACTTTTGTTTTATTTTGAGATGAAGTCTTGCTTTGTCACCCAGGCAGGAGTGCAGTGCCGTGATCTCGGCTCACTGCAACCTCTGCCTCTCAGGTTCAAGCAATTCTACTGCCTCAGCCTCCCGAGCAGCTGGGATTACAGGCATATACCACCATGCCCGGCTCATTTGTATTTTTAGTAGAGATGGGGTTTTGCCAGGTTGGACAGGCTGGTCTCGAACTCCTGACCTCCGGTGATCCAGCTGCCTTAGCCTCCCAAAATGCTGGGATTACAGTCATGAGGCACCACGCCCAGTCAGCACTCAAATTTTAAACCAGTGTTGATAGACTTGGCCTTCCTCTTAATTTTGCTAGTAGCCATATGAGGAGAGGGAATACATCAGCTGTCTCTGCTCGCTTCTTTCAGAATGGAGCTCACGCCATCTGGGATGTCCAGATATCTGCTCAGAGTTGATATGGATGAAACATATACTTAATTCATTAGACTGTATGGGCATGGCCAGGCAAGCCTTAGACCACCTCTTGTCTTCCCTCTCTAGACCAGCTTTGGCGATTTTCATTCTCCAACAGCTTGTTAATCAAGTTGGCAAAAGGTTTGTGCCTGAGAGGTTTCTGCTGTTTGCATCAGCTTTCTTGTTTTGCTAAATATTCTTAAGATGCCAGAAAGACTTGGGCTCTTGTCTTTCGTGGATCTCAGAGGGAGTTCATTTGCAAAGGGAAAGACACAATGCTTGAAAGTGGGGCAATATTGAAGATCTCTGTCCTGGACACTTTGCTCTTTTTATCAATATGACTCATGGTTCTCTGGCAGTCATGCGGCCTTGACTCTCCTTCTGCCTCTATTAGCCAGTTGCTGTCTTCTCTGCCAGCATAAAAAAAAGTGTTGGCTGGATTACAATCCCAGCACTTTGGGAGGCCGAGGTGGGCGAATCAGGAGGTCAAGGGTTCAAGACCAGCCTGGTCAATACGGTAAAACCCCGTCTCTCCTAAAAATACAAAAAAATGAGTCGGGTGTGGTGGCAGGAGCCTGTAGTCCCAGCTACTTAGGGAGGTTGAGGCAGGAGAATCGCTTGAATCTGGGAGGCAGAGGTTGCAATGAGCCGAGAGTGTGCCACTGCACTCCAGCCTGGGTGACAGAGCAAGACTCCATCTTGGGTAGGGGGTGGGGGGGTGTGGGTAAGAAAGCTTCTAACTTTGTGAGTCCCTTATACACAAATGTGTCTGAGCTGACTGGCATGAGTGTAACTGTCCTCAAGAGGGAGTCGGGATGAATAAAGTCACTCTACAAGGGCCCTGTCACCATTTGTGAAAGCCAGCTGAAAGAGGGATGTTCCTATCTTATCCAGCTCCTCTTGAGGGGCTGTGTTCTCAAATGACCATTCTCACTTATGCTGCCAAAGCTGAAAATTCTCAGGAACTGCATTAAAAACGTAAGATAGGACAAACCTCTATCTCCTGAGTTCTCCTTGCAGACAACATAAGGATGATGCCCATACAAAGGCAGAATATTCCCGTTGTGAAAAAGACAAAGAGGACTCTCGTGGTTGTGAAATGTAGCCGGTGGGCAGGCAACTTCTGCTGCTTCAGGGCAGAGTTGTCTGGCAATCTGGACAGACGGTGCTGTGGCATCTCCTCCATTTTGGTCCTGCAGGTGACTCAAATACTTTTGGGACATTTAGAACATAAAAATCAGTAAGAACTCATAGTAATACCACATATTGGTAATGTGAAATGAATTATGTGAGCCCTTCCTTTAAAGTTGCAAAGTCCTTCTGCTTCCTGGATTATTCCTTAACCAGATCTGATATTTAGCAGGAGCTCAGCTCTCTCCACTCAGCCATTGCTGAGGATAACTGACTTAGGCTCAAAAACGTTGTTGTGCTAAATGTCATGCCTAGGAGGGATAGTCCCGGCAAGGTCTATGGAAACCAACATCTGGTGACACTAGGAAGCAATCACGATGGGCTATTTCTGGGATTTGGTGAGTAATTCAAGGCAAGCCCTTTCTGAAAGGGGGAAATGGATTTATCTTAGGAACTTGCCTAAATCCTTGGATATTAATACACAAAAATAAAAGTTAGGGCTGTCAGCCTTTTTCCAAATGTGGCTGTCCTTAACATGAGTGTAAACTAAATTGGAAAAATGCTCTCAGATCATAGCTAACTCTGCTATTTGGGAAGATGAGGAAGAGATCAGCACAGGGAATTGCAGAACACAGATGTCTCTTCTCAGCAGCTTCCAATGTTTTCTTCATCCATAAGAAAGACTCTAGTGGAAAATGTAGATTACAAACATCTCCTTCTAACCTCTCTAAGTGCATGCTTTAGAGTAGCCTAAATGAGGCAAGAGAAGGGAAGAGGAAGATAATGAGACGTTCAGCACTGAAGTACAGTATTAGGTCTGGTTTGGGGTTTTTTCCCTTGTTAGAAATCCACTAACATTATTTTCCTTAGGCCATTAAGAATTAATAATTACTTCTTTTAAAACTGGCATTTAGGATTTAGAATTAGAGTTAAGAAATTAGGCAGCATGAGAGTTTTCAATTTTCCCTTGTAATTTACATTAGATAGAAGCCATCCTGGACTATTTTTGTATCAAAGAAAGTAATGACTTTGGCAAATGTACCTAGTTTGAAAGAGTACAAAATTAATGCAAATGCTTACACTAGGAAGTTTCCAATTCAGAGTTAAAGCTTCCACTTGCAAGCTGTAAAAAAAGCAACATATCAATGGGAAATTTTCAGCATGCCATTTGAATCTGGTTTGGAGTCGGCAAGCTAGTACGATTGTTGGTGTCAGACAACCTTGTGTGAGAAGATGGCAGTGAACACTTCTAGGTAACATCTGCATTTGTTTTACTAAATAAACACGATCACACCCCAAAACCCAAGAGTTTAAAAGGCAGTAAAAGGCCATGAGATTAGATTATATGAACAGGGTTAACCTACGCAATATTGGAGTATGTTTGTGATTCAAATACTTATTCCAACATTGGCTTGGATGGGATTATATTACATAGATAATGCCTAGCAACAGGGTAATGATAACCAAAAACCAATGAGAATCGTATTCCTTAGACTCTTTCTGAAACAAAAAATCCAACTGACCCAAATTCCAGACCAAAAGGAACTTCACACGTAATGTATTACTCTGGGGTCACCAGAGAAACAGAACCAATAGGAGATTATATGACTATGTATGTATATTACTAGGAATTGACTTACACGATTATGGAAGCTGAAAGTCCAAAATCTGCAGAGCTGATATCCCAGTTCACATCTGAAGACCAACAGGCTGCCGTGGATCCAGGAAGACCCAGTGTTTCAGTTAGCAGGCAGGCAGGCAGAATTCTCTTGGGGGTTGGGCAATCAGTCTTTTGTTCTTTGCAGGCCTTCAACGGACAGGACAAGGCCCTCTCACATTAGGAAGGACAATCCTCTTTGCTCAGGTCTACCAATATAAACGTTAATCTCATCCAAATATACCATCACAGAACACTCAGAATAATGTTTAACCAACTCTCTGGGTGTCCTATGCTCTAGCTAAGTTGCCACATTAAAACTAGCCATGACAGATAGTAAGGACAAATATTTCTGGGACACTATTCTTGAGAGACAGCTAGATATACATTCTCAGGTAACTTATATGTTAATCTATTCCTCTCTTCTAAATAAATCTACATTAAATGTGCAAATATACCTCATATGTGTTGCCTTTCAATATTTCCAGAACAGGGTTCTTTTTGACAGCACTACTGACATTTTGGACCAGATATTTATTTGTTGTGAAGGCTGTCCTGTAAGATTGTAAAATGTTTACTTGCGTCCCTGGCCTCTATTGCCCATGTTTGAGAATCACTGTTCTAAATTAATACCAGTACAACCGTTTGTTAACACCTGTTGTATTGTGGTATCACTAGAAATTTCAAAGTCTGGGTGCAGTGGCTCATGCCTGTAATCCCAGCTCTTTGGGAGGCTGAGGTGGGAGGATCACCTGAGCCCAGGAGTCTGAGGCTGTAGTGAGCTATGATGGTACCACTGCACTCCAGCCTGGGAGACAGAACAAGATCCTGTCTCTTAAGGAAAATTTCAAAGTGATTTTCAAAAAGTTCTTGTCTTCATTTTTCTTTAACCACTATAGATAGCATTCTCAAGCATTAGCAGACATTTGGTATATTTGGGGTTGCCTTATATTTCATTGTCTTTCCTATTAACTGCTGGGATGGAAATATATGTGAAATATATGTACATTATATGAATAGACACATAATATTCACGGTAGTCTCATTTTTTGGTTTTGGCAAATTAATGACAGCTTGGCAGATTGGTCTGAATTCTGACAGCACAGACCAGGATGTCTTAATTTGCAAATCTCTCCTCTGATACAATAATACGTGATGGCTTTTTTTCCCCCACATTAATTTAAGACATGTCACTTGACAGGAAGTTAAATACCTCTATTGAGAAGGTAGGTGCTCCATTTTCTTTTTTACCACTTGGCAAGAGTATCTCACTTATCAGGGTTAAAGGGATGAAAATGATAGGGTTAATTAAATTTAGCAGTAGCTTAAATGTTTATTCTGTGGTAGTTTTTTTTTTGTTTTCTTTTAACTTATTTGGCTCTAGTGGGAATCCTGGAGAATGAAACCTACCCTTCTTTCCTCTGAGTCCCTGTGTGTGGCTTTCAGCCCATGGAGGTGCAAGGTGCATCAGTAACAAGTTGCTGGTGTGCAGGTGTGTGAGATTTCCTGGATGTTGACATGCTAACCTGTTAGGCTCATTTACATTTCACAAAATTGGAATGTAGAATTCTATATATCAGTAATGGCATCTGGTTGCTTTCTATGTCTGGTTTGCTGTATATGCTTGAGTCTCCAGATAAGTTGGTATCTTGAAGAGGATATGGGAGACCTGGGTCTGACCTCTGGTTCTGCTACTAAAACTAGTGTATGCCCCTTCTCAGATTTACTTTCATTGTCTATACAATGTGACTAGTAACACTTTTCCTTTGGGACTCTTTCAATGATTAAACATGACCGCTTACATATAAACGTAAGTTGTAAGCACGGTGCTTGGCAAAGAGTGGGCAACCAATCAACATTATTTAAAAGAGTAAAAAAAAAAAGTAAAAGAGTAAGTGAATTTGAGCCAGAAAATAAAAAACAATACTATTACCTTATAACTCATAGAATAAGTATCAAGTCCACACTGATGTAAATAAATAATTGAACAAGGAAATGGGGAAAGGGGATAATTCTTTTTTTTTTTTTTTTTTTTTTTTTTTTTTTTTTGAGACGGAGTTTCGCTCTTGTTACTCAGGCTGGAGTGCAATGGCGCGATCTCGGCTCACCGCAAACTCCGCCTCCTGGGTTCAGGCAATTCTCCTGCTTCAGCCTCCTGAGTAGCTGGGATTACAGGCACGTGCCACCATGCCCAGCTAATTTTTGTATTTTTTTTTAGTAGAGACAGGGTTTCACCTTGTTGACCAGGATGGTCTCGATCTCTTGACCTCGTGATCCACCCGCCTCAGCCTCCCAAAGTGCTGGGATTACAGGCTTGAGCCACCGCGCCCGGCTGGGATAATTCATTCTTAAAGTGGAATTCTGTAATAAATGTAACATATGTTGAAAGAATGAGAAAAATAGAAAAACCATTATAATAATGGCTGTCGCAGGCAGGAACTACCAATGTTTGCTAGAATTAGCAGGCAAAAGTTTGAGGAAAACCAGATATTTGTATTGCTTCAAAGTATTGCCCCCAAAATAGATATTAATTACAAAGGGAAAATAATAAGTTTATAGTGTAAAAAGCTGGCAGATACCACCTTAGCCAGGTGATCAAGGCTGACTTCACTGATAATAAAACATATTAACAGTATGTACCCCTGATATAATAAATCTGGAAGGACATACTCGTTTCTGTGGTATTCTGGTCAGAAATGCATAGCTACAGTCAAATCATGAGAACGTTATAGACAAATCCAAATGGAAGGACATCCTGCAAAATACACAATGGATACTCTTCAAAAGTGTGAATGAAGATCATGAAAGACAGGAAATAGTGAGAAACTGTCACTGGTCTGAGGAAACCAAAAAGACACAACTAAGTTAGTGCAGTGTGGGATCCTGCAATGGATGCTGGAATAGAACAAGGACATCAGTGGAAAAACTGGCAAAATCTGAATTAAGTCTGTAATTATACTGTTACCAGTGTTGACTTGTTAGTTCTGATAACTCTATTATGGTTACACAAAAAGTTAACATTGGGGAAACCCAGGGAAGGGAATATGGGAATTCTCTATTCTATTTTTGTAACTTTTAAGTCTGAAGTTTCAAAATAGAAAGTTTTAAACTAGTTAAATGAGCAAGACAGCTGTAGTTATATTGTTGTCTTTTTATACGTTTACAAAGTGCCAAATTAACCTGATGCTCTTTCTTCCACTACCCTGCTGATATGGTTTGGCTCTGTGTCCCCACCCAAATCTCATGTCGGATTGTAATTCCCAGTGTTGGGGGAGGGACCTGGTGGGAGGGGATCAGATCATGGGGGCAGATTTCTCCCTTGCCATTCTCATGATAGTGAGTGAGTTCTCACAAGATCTGGTTGTTTACAAGTGTGTAGCACTTCCCCTTCACTCTCTCACTGTCTTGTCACCATGTGAAGATGTGCTTGTTTTCCTTTCAGCTTTTGCCATGATTCTAAGTTTCCTGAGGCCTCCCTAGCTATCCTCTTGTACAGACTGTGGAACTGGAAGTCAATTAACCCTCTTTTCATTATAAACTACCCAGTCTCAGGTAGTTCTTTATAGCATTGTGAAAATGGAAGAATACACAAAATTGATACCAGAGAAGTGGGATATTGCTAAGAAGATACCTAAAAATGTGGAAGCAACCTTAAAACTGGGTAATAGGCAGAAGTCAGAACAGTTTGGAGGGAAGAAGACAGGAAGATGAGGGAAAGTTTGGAACTTCCTAGAGAGACTTGTTGAATGGTTTTGACCAAAATGCTGATAGTGATATGGATAATGAATTCCAGGCTGAGGTAGTCTCAGATGGAGATGAGGAACTTATTGGGAACTGGAGTAAAGGTCACTCTTGCTGTGCTTTAGCAAAGAGACTGGTGGCATTGTGCTCATGCTCTAGGGATCTGTGTAACTTTGAACTTGGGAGAGATGGCTTAGGGTATCTGACAGAAGAAATTTCTTTCTTTATATGTATATATATATATGTGAATTTCTCATATATGTATATATTATTGTGCTTTAGGTTTTGGGGTACATGTGAAGAACATGCAAGATTGTTGCATAGGTACATACATGGCAATGCAGTTTGCTGCCTTCCTCCCCATCACCTATATCTGGCATTTCTCCCCATGTTATCCCTCCTAACTCCCCACCCCCCACTGTCCCTCCCCTAGTTCCCCCCCACCACAAACCTCAGTGTGTGATGCTCCCCTCCCTGTGTCCATGTGTTCTCATTGTTCAATACTCGCCTAAGAGTGAGAACATGTGGCGTTTGATTTTCTGTTCTTGTGTCAGTTTGCTGAGAATGATGGTTTCCAGGTTCATCCATGTCCCTACAAAGGATACAAACCCATCATTTTTTATGGCTGCATAGTATTCCATGGTGTATGTGTGCCACAGTTTCCCTGACAGAAGAAATTTCTAAGCAGCAGAGTGTTCAAGAGATGGCCTGGCTGCTTCTAAAAGCCTATGTTCATTTGCACAGGCACAGAGAACTTATATTTAAAAGTGAAGTAGAGCATAAAAGTTTGGAAAATTTGTGGCCTGACCATGTAGTAGAAAAGAAAAACCCATTTTCTGAAGAAAACCTCAAGCCAGCCGCAGAAATCTGCATAAGTAAAGAGGAGCCAAATGTTAATAGCCAAAACAATGGAGAAAAAGGCTCCAGGACATTTTAGAGGCCTTTGTGGCAGTGCTACCACCACAGGCCCAGAGGCTTAGAAGGGAAAAATGGTTTTGTGGGCTAGGCCCTGGGCCCAGCTACTGTGTGCAGCCTTGGGACATGGCACCCTACTTCCCAGCTGCTCCAGCTTCAGCTGTGGTTAAAAGGGGCCAAGGTACAGCTCAAATAATTGCTTCATTGGGGTTTAAGCCCCAAGCCTTGGCAGCTTCCATGTGTTGTTGGGCTTATGGGTGTGCATAAGGCAAGAGTTGAGGTTTGGGAGCCTCTGCGTCAATTTCAGAGGATATATAAAAATGCCTGGATGTCCAGGCAGAAGTTTGCTACAGGGGTGAGCCCTCATGGAGAACCTCTGCCTCTAAGGGGCAGCGCAGAGAGAAAATGTGGGGTCCCGAGTCTCCACTGGGGTACTGCCTAGTGGGGCTTTAAGAAGAGGGCCACTGTCCTCTAAACCCCAGAATGGCAGGTAGATCCATCGACCGCTTGCACAGTGTGCCTGGATATACTGCAGGCTCTCAACACCAGCCTGCGAAAGCAACCGTGGGGACTGTACCCTGCAGAGCCACAGAGGCAGAGCCGCCCAAGACCTTGGGAGCCCACTCCTTGCATCAGCATGGCCTGGATGTGAGACGTGCAGTCAAAGATCCTTTTGGAGCTTTAAGATTTAATGAGTCCCCTGATGGGTTTCGAACTTGCTTGGGGCATGTAGCTTCTTTGTTTGGGCCAATTTCTCCCACTTGGGAGAATTTACCCAATGCCTGTTACCTCGATTGTAGCTTGGAAGTAACTTGTTTTTGATTTTACAGGCTCATAGGTGGAAGGGACATGCCTTGTCTGAGATAAGACTTTGGACTTGGACTTTTGAGTTAATGCTGGAATGAGTTAAGACTTTGGGGGACTGTTGGGAAAACATGATTGTGTTTTGAAATGTGAGAAGGACATGAGGTTTGGGAGGGGTCGGGGGTGGAATGATATGGCTTGGCTCTGTGTCTCCACCCAAATCTCATGTTGAATTGCAGTTCCCAATGTTGGGGGAGGGACCTGGTGGGAGGTGATTGGATCATGGGGACAGATTTCCCCTTTGCTGTTCTCAGGACAGAGAGTGAGTTCTCTCAAGATCTAGCCGTTGAGAAGCGTATAGCATTTCTCCTTTGCTCTCTCGTCACCATGTGAAGATGTGCTTGCCTCCCCTTCACCTTCTGCTGTAATGTTTCCTGAGGCCTCCCCGCCATGCCCAATATATAGCCTGTGAAACTGTGAGTCAATTAACAACCCCCCTACCGACCTTTTTTTTGAGATGGAGTTTCACTCTTTTCACCCAGGCTGGAGTACGACTCACTGCAACTTCTGCCTCCTGGGTTCAAGCTATTCTCCTGCCTCAGTCTCCCAAATAGCTGGATTACAGGCATCCGCCACCATGCCTAGCTAATTTTTGTATTTTTAGTAGGGATGGGGTTTCACCATTTGGCCAGGCTGGTCTCAAACTCCTGAACTCATGATCCACCTGCCTCAGCCAGCCAAAGTGCTGGTATTTCAGGTATGAGCCACTGTACCCAGCCTAAACCTCTTTTCTTTATAAACTACCCAGTCTCAGGTAGTTCTTTATAGCAATGTGAGAATGGACTAATATATCGGCCACCCCTTTTGCTGGGACCATGCCTCAGAGTTTACAAATCTGCTCCCCATGTACCATCGCTTAGAATCCTCAACAATGCCCACTTTGAGCTGATGAGATGGGCCTCAAGAGGTAAGGGGCTTGCCTAAGGTTACACAGCTGCTCTTCCCTTTCTCCTGCACAGTTACAGCAGAAGCCAGTTGGTGAGAGAAAAAATCAGCCGGCTCAACAAAAATCACACACAAGCCAGTGATATTTTATTATATAAGAGAGTTGTCAAAAGGACAGATTCATTTCTGTTTCAGAAATCCCCTCATTCCAGTGATCCATTTGCCGACACACTTAACATAAACTATTTGCTGATATTTACTGGGTTCTTGCAATGTATCAGAGTCATTAAATAAGATGCAACTTCTACTGTGGAAACTGGGATCTTCATTAGGACCCAGACTTAGAAAAGGCCCAGTTTCAAAGATTCTGACTTGCACAGACTGAGTACTCCCATTTCCAGAAGTTCGAATACCTCCTTTCTTATCTAAACAAGAGAAAAGGAAGAAAAAAAAAAAAAGATTAAGGTCAAGCCAGAATAGTCTTGGTGAATAAATTCAACCATCAGGACTCCCTAATATTTACCCAATTGTTATGGCCAGAATCGCAGAGGGCAAAAGTCCTAACACACATTTAATTCAGAGTTGAAATTTAAAAAAATATATTATTATTATTATTACTATTATTCTGAGACAGAGTCTCATTCTGTTGCCTATGCTGGAGTGCAGTGGCACGATCTTGGCTGTTATCTCCGCCTCCTGTGTTCAGATGATTCTCATGCTTCAGCCTCCTGAGTAGCTGGGATTAGAGGCATGCACCACGACACCTGGCTAATTTTTGTATTTTTAGTAGAGACGGGGTTTTGCCCTGTTGGCTAGGCTGGTCATGAACTCTTGGCCTCAAGTGATTCACCTGCCTTGGCCTGCGAAAATGCTGGGTTTACAGGTGTGAGCCACTGTGCCTGGCCTATTATTGCTATTATTTTGTAGAGACAGGGTCTTGCTTTGTTGCCCAGGCTTGTCTCCAACTCATGGCTTCAAGTAATCCTCCCACCTCAGCCTCCCAAAGGTCTAGGATTACAAGTATGAGCCACCATACCTGTCAGAATTTAAATATTTACATAGATGAAGGAAGAAGTACTATATAAAACATCAGTTTCATTAAAGTGCCCTTTTGTTTGTAGACATTCAAAATAAAATGCTATGCAAAGGTTTTTCAAGGATTCCACAGTGTGCTTTCTGTAAGCAAGATTATACACAATAGTTCAGTATAGGATTTTATTGCCTTAGGATAACTGCTAAGAATGACAGCAACAGAATAAAAGTAACTGTGGGTGACAAGACGTTTTTGGACATTTCTCATTATTAGAATTAGAAACCTAGTAGATTAGTCAGATTTAAGATTAAAACTGAAATAATCAACTATGGCCTCATGCCTGACATCAAATTTGTTAAACCAGTTTTAAGAAAGCAGTCAGTTCAGGGGCCAAGTGCACAACTGTGTGTGTGTGTGTGTGTGTGTGTGTGTGTGTGTGTGTTTGTGTGTGTAACTGAGCAAATTGTTTTTTAACCTGAACTGAGGTCTGAAATAACTCACTGATCAATTACAATCAGGTTTGGTCTCAATCTAGAGACACAGCTTTATGTGATAAATTAATTCATTCAGGATTTTTGGAGGAGTATTTCTTAGCCTCTCTGATAGTTACTGCCATGATTTGTTCTTGGTTGGTGACTGGTAACCCCTTTTTTTCCTAACAGCTACTGTGAAGCATCAGGCTAGATTGAAAAATTAGCCCCATAATAGCATGGTAGGTGGCAAAGTTGATTTTTCACATGATGATGATAATAGATTGCTTTTAGGAATACATAATGAGCTAATGCTGTGCCCATAAAGGCATTCAGTCATTTAATTCTAATCCACTGAGACATCAAAAAATTTCCCCACCCCACAAAACCAAAATGTCTTTCTAAATTAAGGGGGTTCTTGGGAATGTGGAGATGCTGGCAGAGGCAAGTTTGTGTCCCCGCTGCACCCATCCCAGCCAAAAGTGCACGTGTAAGAATGAAAGACAAAGACAAGTGTGTGTATAAAGAAAGGCACAGGAAAAGTGCAGCTCCTTCACATCTTCTTGTTTCTCAAAACGGTCCCTAGTGAGGAGAGGCCATTGATCCTTTAAGGAGCAACAGAGTGGATTCTCATGAAACACATGAAAAGGATACACTTACGTGTAAGGGGACGGGGCGGCCTCTATAATTATAGTTAGCTCAGAGTTAAAAGGTAGAAATCATTTCAAAATCTAAAATGTGTTGGCTCCTCATGTCAAAGACTTACTGTGTTTGAACTCAAGTTCAAATGGAAAAAAAATGATTAAAGGCAACTGCTGGTTAGGTGGTACCTCGGGAATGTCCATCATTCTCCTCAGCTTCTGATCTCTCCAGTTCCAGTCAAAAACCAGAAATTTTAAGGGGTTCAAATTAAGGCCACCTGAAAGAGACAGGGAGCGAGCTGCTGCAGTCAAGACCTCATGACATAAGCCTATTACAATGATTTTTTATTCATTTGCTGTCCTCTGCCCCGGTAACTAATCTCTGCACATTCAGTGCCGCCCTTCCCTGATGGAAAACAAATGCACCACTCTGAGACTTGCTCTTCTTAGCATCTCATCACTCCTTCTGGGGAGAGCAGAGAAGCCGCTCTTCCTAAGCTCCTCAAATGCTCACACGCTGGCCAAGCCTCCATTTCATGCAGCCCCAGAGGTGTAGTCTCATTCCTGCCAGGCATTTGCTAAGCGAAATCCTACAGTTGGGGGTAGTTGCCTTTCAGAGGAGTCGAGTGCACGCAGTCTGCATGGCTCTGAGGAGGTGAGTGGAGAGAAAGATGAGGACAGGGCTGGGAGGTTCATTTGAGGCAGAAAAGGAAGTTGCGATGAATGGGCTCTATTCAAAGTGAGCTATCCTTTGATGAGGCTGGTAAATCACTTAATGACTCCATTCTCTGCTTTCCCGTCTGTCTAGAAGACAATTGTGGACTGTGGAGGCTGGAGGGGACCTGGGGATTGTCTGGTCTCCAGCCGGCTCACAGTTGGGCGTTCAGTCAGCTCTTGCCTCTGCTCCGAGCTGTTCTGCGTCCCCGGTCAAAACAGTACCTGCAGCCTTCCTCTCCTGCGGCTCTGTTCCTCAGCTATTGCCTGTAGTATTTAAATATTTTCCTCTTTACCTCTAATGCTTATTCATGCTTTTTATAATTCGAATGCCTGTTATTAAAAACTCTGCAAAATTAAAAATGGTGAAATGGTAAAGACAGTCACTTGATCATCCGTCTTCCCTTAACCTAACTGCTGGCAGGAAAGCCAGGGACGGCCTTTCTGGAATTAAACTGAGCATAATATAATAACAGCTTCAACATGCTTGTAGGTGATCTCAAACTCCTGACCTCAAGTGATTCGCCCATCTCAGCCTCCCAAAGTGTTGGCATTACAGGCGTGAGTCACAAGTGCCCGGCCAAAATGCTTTTATTTGATAAAATAAATTTCCTTCTATGACATATCCCAGTGAAACATCAGAAATGTAAACATAGCTACTTGCAAAAATGAGCATTGCAGTATTATTTGTAATAGCAAAAGTTCATAATAGAATTGCAAAAATAAATAAATTTACAATAGAATATTGTGTAGCTATACAAATAAAAAATTAAACATGCTTCATGACAAGGAAAGTAAGTCCTCATGAGATATAGCAAGTGAAAAGGTAGGTTATAAAGTTATGAGATGTTGTATAATCAGTCTCTCTTGTATAAAAGTAAACATATGTATAGAAAAAAGACTGAAAGGAAATCTATTCATTATTAACAAGAGATTGCCTCTAAAGTGACTTGTTTTCTTCTCTGTGTATTTTTTCTCTGCATATTTTTGCATTTTTCAAAGGCTCCTATAGTCAGAAAATTCCCTTTACTACTAAATTAAGACAACACAATTGTCTGTAATTGTACACATCCTAGTGTCACGGGATATCTTTCGATGTCTGGAAACTCTCCTTATATATCAAACATATAAACAGCTTGTTAAGTCATAAACAGCTAGGTATCACTTTGTTAGATTTTCCACTTTTAGGGTGCTGGGATTATTCTCTTTAAACACTTTGTATGTAGCTAAATACCTGTGGTTAACGAATATTAAACCGTTCATCCAATTAGAATCAGAAGTAAAAATTACTTTCATTAATATTGTAAAAAAAAAAATAGCTCCTTAAATGATTTTTCCACATGTAATAAGCCTTCATTATTGAGGTCTCACAGCTCTGTAGAGATCTGATTTCAGTAGTCTGGATAGCTTTTCTTTTTCTCGTCCTTTCTTTCTTTTAAATACAGAGGAGCATATTCTTGTTGCATGGAATGGGGGCTCGGGGAGCCTGGTGACACCCAAAAAACTCTGTATTCCAGAAGGGGTTGGTGGTGAATCCTTAGCTAAAAGCTGTTAAGGAAATAGGAACCAACCCAAGAGTCCATCCTTAGCCTCCCCTGATACCCAGCCAATGACTCCCAAAGCTCTGTCTCATAGAAGGCCTGGTGCCTCGGATCTGTTCCTTAACTTTCAAATGCCATCGGACGTCCACAAGACAAAAACCCAAACTCCCTGGCCTACTGTTCAAGGACTTCCCTCCAGTTTCTTTCCAATGGAATCACCTGCTACTATAGCCCACGAAGTCTCCAAGCAAGAAAGTTGGTCTCTTTAATAAATAACTAAGATTTGTTAAGTGCTTAGGGTGTGACACTTAGTGTGGTGAGCTCTTTATCAGCGTTTTGTTTTTATAACAATCCTTGAAGTGGCCACTATTGCTATCTGTGTCATTCACACAAAGAAACAGGCTGAGAAGGGTTAAGTAACTTGCCAAGGTGACAGAGCTGGAAGTTGCCGGACCTGGGATTTGAATCTGGAGGTCTGAGTCCATCACAGGGGCTCTTAACTGCAACGCTGTTTTGCCTCCCCATCAATTCCTTGTGATATACCATGTGTATATCACATGCCTGCTTTCCGAGAGTCTCACTGGGCTGTTCTCCCATTCATGAATGCTCCCCTGACCCCCCCTGCCTATTTCAGTCCTCCCCACCCTGCAAAGACCAGATAAAGACCCTGCCTGCAGATTCAGGCCAGCGTAATCATCTCTTTCTCATTTCAACTCTTTAGGACTTAGGAGTGCTCATTTGGCTCTTGGCATTGCCTGCCTCATGTTGTTGATCTCAGTCTATGTACACTTAGTTCTTCAGCTGGATCAGGAGAACCAGGAAGGCTTGGACTGCTAGACCTCGGGGAGGGCGGCTTAACCCTCTGCGCGTCAGTTCTCTCTCAAAAGAAAAAGGCTAGCCTGTGAGAGTGCCTTGAGTGCTAAACGCGGCAACAGATGTAAGGGTGTCAAGCGTGTCACTGCGTACAGGCAGGAACTCAAAAGTGTTTCCCTTCCTTGTCGGGGGCAGCCAAATTGTTACTTCTCGGTATTTGTACACAACTCTGCATACAGTGGGTTCAGCTAACCCTGGATGATTTTCATCTGGAGAGAAACAACAGTAGTTTTAGCTTTTCGTGGCTCTCTGGCAAATGGCCATCTCTACAATGATTTACTACACTGATGAACACATTACTTTTAGATATATAAAAGCTATTGAGAAGACATCCAGACAGTTATTTAAAAAAAGGTCTATTATATAGTATGTAAGTAATTTGGAAATAAGTGTTGAAAACAAATAATTAAATCTGCCTGGTAGGTAGAAGAGGTAATTAGATCGTCGGCAGGTTAGCACGTTCTTAGGCTACCGGTTTTGAGAAAGTTGGCAGACTATATAAAAACGCACCAATGCGTGTTGTTTGGAATACTTTCTGTAAAGCACTAACAGAGAAATGCATTTCGGAAGAAATATTATGCAATGCCTACATTACATTCATGGAAACTATGTTTCGTTTTATTTTACCAGCCCTCGAAATGGGAGTCTCCCCAAGACTCAGTGGAGTGAGACGGAAATGCTCAACTCATGCGGCGGCTGGCCACTGCACGAAGGCTGTGCAGACCCATTAACCTGCTTATCCTGCTCATGGCAGCTGGACGTTGGCTGTTGAGGTGGGTACACGTTTTCCTTGTCATTCCTTACTGTGTTATACTTGCTGGTTGGCTTCAGAGATTAAAGGCCGAGTTTCCAATTCCTGAATTAACGCAGAGGTCTGGTTTTTGTATATCCCAGATTTAGTTTCTGAGACTCACATATGGGTAAGGCAGATTCCCAGTCCTAGGCAAGAGTATCACTGTCCGCATCATACCTTGTTTAACAAGTTCTTTAATTCTCCCTGGAGTTCCCACACCCAGGTGTACCACACGCTTCTCCAGCAACTTTACCTGCTCCTGGACCTGTTCCAAGATTAAAGAGAAGGGAAGAAAAGGAAAAGTCATTCAGAAAGTGCAATCTTATGCCAATCTTATGACTTTTATCTCAAAAGTCAAGAAAGTGAAATGCAAAGGGAGCTACCCTTGTACAGGGTCAACTTCCAGGGCAGAGACGCGCATATCCCTAGAAAACTGGTGAATCTTCAAGGAATCAAAGAGTGAAACCTCAGGCTCTATACAGGGACGGAGCATGGCAGTAGAGACTGCCGTAGGTGGGGTGGCAGGGGTAGGTATGAGGAGGGATAGAATGAAAAGAAACAGAAAAGCTCTTAAATGTTACATAAGGAAGGAACTCAATAACGTACTTGCTAAGGAGATTAGGAAAAGAAGTTGGAAGAAAATGGCTGAGGTCTGGGAAGGGCCTTTAGGGATCACAGGCCCCTGCTTACCTTTATGTGCTTTGCAAATAATTTGATAACTTTGCTGTCTCCTCTGAATGCTGTCACTGACCTAATGAAAAGAAATAGGTGAATGCTTAAGAAAACCAACTCATTCTGGGCCACGATGACTACTTAAATATTATGTCTTGCTTTATTCAAAGAATATGTGCATCTGTGTGTATCTGTGTGCATACGGACACACAAATTCTGAGATTTTCAGGTTAGCCCATCTTTGCAATGAGAGTGGGTGGCCTTTTAGTCAGGCACGTATCTGGGTTGGCTTCATACTGCCATACACAAGGCCAACCTTACTTAAGCTTCCTTGATTACTGAAACACTAGGACCCTGCCTTTCACTTGCAATACAGAATTCCTGTATTTCAGGTCCCTGGCAGAGAATTTATATTCCAGTTATGCAGTGAAGTTCTCACACAAAATCTGGTTGCAAGAGATATCTTAGAGTGGTGATGCCAGCCCACTCTCTGTGGAGCCAAGGGCATCTACAAAGCTCTGCCTGTGGTGGCCATGAGGGGAAGCTGGGGACGAGCCCGAAAGGAAGAAGGAGGAGGGCTCTTCTGTCCTTCTATCAGAGCTGTCCCTTTTTATCTATGTTGTAGACTAAGCTTCTCTATAAAATTTTATATGTGGAAATGGAGCTTCGGCCAAAAAGAAAGGAAGGAAGGAGGGAGGGAAGGAGGAAGGAAAGAGGGAGGGAGGGAGGAAGGAAGGAGGGAGGGAAGGAGGAAGGAAGGAGGGAGGAAGGAGGGAGGGAAGGAGGAAGGAAGGAGGGAGGGAGGAAGGAAGGAGGGAGGGAAGGAGGAAGGAAGGAGGGAGGGAGGAAGGAAGGAGGGAGGGGAGGGAGGAAGGAAGGAGGGAGGAAGGAGGGAGGGAAGGAGGAAGGAGGGAGGGAGGAAGGAAGGAGGGAGGGGAGGGAGGAAGGAAGGAGGGAGGGAAGGAGGAAGGAAGGAGGGAGGGAAGGAGGAAGGAAGGAGGGAGGGAGGAAGGAAGGAGGGAGGGGAGGAGGAAGGAAGGAGGGAGGGAAGGAGGAAGGAGGGAGGGGAGGAGGAAGGAAGGAGGGAGGGAGGAAGGAAGGAGGGAGGGGAGGAGGAAGGAAGGAGGGGAGGAGGAAGGAAGGAGGGAGGGAGGGAGGAAGGAAGGAGGGAGGGAAGGAGGAAGGAAGGAGGGAGGAAGGAGGGAGGGAAGGAGGAAGGAAGGAGGGAGGGAGGAAGGAAGGAGGGAGGGAAGGAGGAAGGAAGGAGGGAGGGAGGAAGGAAGGAGGGAGGGGAGGGAGGAAGGAAGGAGGGAGGAAGGAGGGAGGGAAGGAGGAAGGAAGGAGGGAGGGAGGAAGGAAGGAGGGAGGGGAGGGAGGAAGGAAGGAGGGAGGGAAGGAGGAAGGAAGGAGGGAGGGAAGGAGGAAGGAAGGAGGGAGGGAAGGAGGAAGGAAGGAGGGAGGGAGGAAGGAAGGAGGGAGGGGAGGAGGAAGGAAGGAGGGAGGGAGGAAGGAAGGAGGGAGGGGAGGAGGAAGGAAGGAGGGAGGGAGGAAGGAAGGAGGGAGGGGAGGAGGAAGGAAGGAGGGGAGGAGGAAGGAAGGAGGGAGGGAGGGGAGGAGGAAGGAAGGAGGGAGGGGAGGAGGAAGGAAGGAGGGAGGGGAGGAGGAAGAAAGGAGGGAGGGAGGAAGGAAGGAGGGAGGGGAGGGAGGAAGGAAGGAGGGAGGGAAGGAGGAAGGAAGGAGGGAGGGAAGGAGGAAGGAAGGAGGGAGGGAAGGAGGAAGGAAGGAGGGAGGGAAGGAGGAAGGAAGGAGGGAGGGAGGAAGGAAGGAGGGAGGGGAGGAGGAAGGAAGGAGGGGAGGAGGGAGGAAGGAGGGAGGGAGGGGAGGGAGGAAGGAGGAGGAAGGAAGGAGGGAGGGGAGGAGGAAGGAAGGAGGGAGGGGAGGAGGAAGGAAGGAGGGAGGGGAGGAGGAAGGAAGGAGGGAGGGGAGGGGGAAGGAAGGAGGGAGGGGAGGAGGAAGGAAGGAGGGAGGGGAGGAGGAAGGAAGGAGGGAGGGAGGGAGGAAGGAAGGAGGGAGGAGGAGGAAGGAAGGAGGGAGGGGAGGAGGAAGGAAGGAGGGAGGGGAGGAGGAAGGAAGGAGGGAGGGGAGGAGGAAGGAAGGAGGGAGGGAGGAAGGAAGGAGGGAGGGGAGGAGGGAGGAAGGAGGGAGGAAGGAAGGAGGGAGGGAGGGAGGAAGGAAGGAAAGAAGGAAGGGAAAAAACTAAGAAGAAACCATTGACACAACGGACTGGCTGAATTAAAGCTATGAGGGCAGGGGATTATCATGAATGAGTGAAGCAATCTGGGAGAGGACAGAGGGGCGCTGGAGAGTGTGTGTCACCCAACCAGTGCTCAGCTTTGCCAGTCACGATGATGTCAGATTATGGGCTTAAGACCCTTTGATTTTTAGAGAAGCCAGAAATCCAGATTTTTTTTTTTTTTTGAGACGGAGTTTTGCTCTTGTTACCCAGGCTGGAGTGCGATGGCGCGATCTCGGCTCACCGCAACCTCCGCCTCCTGGGTTCAGGCAATTCTCCTGCCTCAGCCTCCTGAGTAACTGGGATTACAGGCACGCGCCACCACGCCCAGCTAATTTTTTGTATTTTTAGTAGAGACGGGGTTTCACCATGTTGACCAGGATGGTCTCGATCTCTCGACCTCGTGATCCACCCGCCTCGGCCTCCCAAAGTGCTGGGATTACAGGCTTGAGCCACCGCGCCCGGCAAATCCAGATTTTTATATGTGCAATCTGATTTTAAATACGGACAACTCATACCAAAATTTTTTAGGTGCAAAATACTTGTGCCTTTGAGCTGTCAACGTTACAGTCTCTGGCTTACACCGGTAGGACAGGCAGGTCATTTCGTTTCTAGGTAGTCAAGAAGCTAGATCTATGTAAATCAATCCAGACCACCAGCTCCGAGGGTCGAGAGGACGCTGGCGGCACCTGACATGCCTGCCTTTCTCCTCAGGTCCTCAGCTGGCACCAACAGCTGCTCTATAAACAGCCACATAGCATTATGTGGCCTGGGTTTTTGTTGTACAGATGACATGAGAATGCTGCTGTCACTGTGTCACAGGGGAAGAGCTGTATTTCTCGGGGAACTTTTGTTTCCCCCCTAAACCCACAGAATGTCATCAATCTGGCAACTGATAATGGTTCCCAACAGATCCTGGCTGTTGGAAGGCCCCCAGTCGGGGCCACCTTTGCAACTGAACAGGGCCTTATAGACATTGATTTTGAGCACCATTTTTAGCTGGCTTCACATAATTTTTTGTTCTTTATTTTTTCCTTCCTTCCATTTTCACAACCTGCTTTGCATTTGTTGAATGTATTTCTATATATCACCTAAAATTCTGTTTTGAGAAGTGGGTATAAATGATCTTTTAATTGATATTTGAGGATTGACCTAACATGGGTTTACTACTCTCCTTCATATTTCATTATTATATTTTGAGAAACATTGACCAGTAAAAACATATGAGTTTGCAAAATAGTGACTCATGCTATACAAATTCTGTTGCCTTCAAGTTTTTACTTACACTCAAGCTTTCTCCATGGCACGGGTTAACCAGGAAGACAATTTAACATAAGTCATGGCTCTCAAGAGAACAGATCTTACAAAAGTTAGAATTATTAAATATTAGTCTTTATGAATAGGGCTTGTTGTGCCTACTCAGAAATCACCTTTTGCAAATCACCTAACCTTGAAATGGATCACAGTGTTACCGAGGATGCAGAAAAATACTGCGAACCAGTCAATGAAGTGTGACAACACACTACTTTTATACCCTAGGTAAGGAATTTATCTACAACAAAAGCTCAAATCAATTTGATAGCTTTATTTTAAGAGTCCACCTCCAGGCCAAACTCTTTGCCCTTAGCCTTTGAATCTGAAATGAGGTAGCTTTTAAAGCACTGAAAAGTCAGTGTGAATTCCCTTGATTTCGGGACCAGGAAGTACAGCTGCCCAGAAGCAGTTGGAATCTTCAAGATCAATTATGTTTAGAGCAGACAAAATGGAAAGAAACACTTTTGTTTTACTGGGAGAGTATGTGCTACCATTTAATGTGTGTCTCCACTTCAGCAGAGAAAGGAGGGTCTGAAGGACCTACTGAAGTTTAACAACTACTTTTCTAAACTCGTGATTAGATTAGTTCATTTAGAGAAAAACATTCTAAATAACTACTGAGAGTCTACGTTTGTACTTAGTCTATTTGACCCAGTTCCTTTTGCTTCATGACTTGGATTTTCCTTTGTTTTGTCTCCTGTCAGAGCCTGGCCCAGAGCCTCAGGGAGAGCTGCTCCTCACAAATCCCATCTGACTCTGACGGCTCTTCTCCGAAAGCTGAATATTACCACTGACCAGTGGAAGCCTTCTTGTTTATTCTACAGAAACTACGGTAAATGAAAAGGTATGTGAAAGCACTTAGTAAAACACTGACAAATTATCTTTAAAACATAATCTTGACATTCAAATCTTTGTTCCATTTGGAATTTATCTTGGTATAAGAAGTGAGATATGAATCCAACCTCATTTTTCCAGTGGGCTACTCAGTTGTTTCAACACCATTTATTAAACAATCCATCTTTCCCTACTGATTTCTGATTTGTCACCTTAGGCGTATGCTCCATTTCCATATGCATCTGGGTCTGTCCCTGAACTTTCAGTTCCGTTCCACTTACCTGATCTGTGATGCGTGTGCCAGTTCCATCCTGTTTTAATCATTGAGAGTGTGTGTGTATAGTTTGTAATCCCTAGGGATAGGATCTTCTCATTGGTATGTGTGTGTGTAGTTTGTAATCCCTAGGGATAGGATCTTCTCACTGGTATGTGTGTGTGTAGTTTGTAATCCCTAGGGATAGGATCTTCTCATTGGTATATTCTTCTTCAGAATTCCTTTGCCTGTTTTTAGTTGTGTATTTCCCCGTAAGAATTTAGAACTAGTTTATCCAGTTTAAAAAGACTGGAGTTTTACTAGGATTCTGTGAAATCTGTAAGCTATCCTAAGCAAGACACCCAACGTTACAATACTGAGTTTTCCTATTCAAGAATATGGTACATGTTTTTGTTTGTTGAAGTTTTCTGCATCCCTTAAATGATGTTGTCTGTACCTAAGTTTTGGTAAGTGTATTCCGTGAAAGAGAGATATTCGATCTTTTCTTTCCTTTTTTTCTCCTTCCTTCCCTCCCTCCTTCCTTTCCTTCCTTCCTTCCTTCCTGTTTCTTTCATCCCTCCCTCCCTCCCTCTTTCTCTCTCTCTGTCTCTCTCTCTCTCTTTCTTTCTTTCAGTTCATAATGGAGATGGGGTCTTATGTTGCCCAGGCTGGTCTCAACTCCAGGGCTCAAGCAGTCCTCTGACCTCAGCCTCCCAAAGTGCTAGGATTATAGACATGAGCCTGGCTTCTCTTTTCTTGTTACTGTTTTAAGTCAGCCCTTTTCTTCTAACTGGTTGTTTGGGGTATGATCTCCTTGCTTTTACCCTTGCTGTCTACAATGCGTGCTCTCCACATGGCAGCCAAGTGAACCTTTAAGATGATGATTCAGATCAAGTAACTCCTCCAAATCCTATAATGGCATCCGATCTTGGGGTCTTCTGGGCTTACTCTCCCCTCTACCTGGAATGGTTTTCTTTCAGATAGTTGCTGGGCTTTCTTCACTTTGTTCACGTCTCTGATCAAACTGTCATCTCCTTAAAGCAACTTTCCGTGACCATCCTTTGAAAAGTAGTCCTGATCCACTTCTATCCCTTTACCATGCTTTACTTTTTGCTTATGTAACTTATCAATGTATCTGACACTACAATGTATTTTCATTTGTTTATTAACTGTCTTCACTACTGAAATGTAAATTCCACGAGGGCAGGGACTCTGTTTTGTTTATTGCTACGTCTCCAGCACATACAACCTAAGAGCCTGGCACATAGCAGTTACTTAGAAACATTTATGATATGAAATAGGTGAACCTTCCAACCTAATGAGCTCCAGGGCTCGGATAGCCGAGCTGCAGATGATCAGCATCAGGACCGATTTTTTCTCACTGTGGTTTCTCCTAAGTTTTACCCACTTAGGACAGACTGGAAAAAAGACCACAAAACAATTATTCAAAATACAGCAAAACAAGGCCCACCTCCCAAGTTGAGTATTTCTTCTTTGTTGAGTGTTAAGCAAAATAAAATATAGTGAGCATGGTTCCTTATAATTACAATTATAATTCCATTTTCTAGTTATTGTAAATATTAGATTAAAACGAAGTATCGGCTGGGCACGGTGGCTCACGCCTGTAATCCCAGCACTTTGGGAGGCCGAGGCAGGTGGATCACGAGGTCAAGAGATGGAGACCATCCTGGTCAACATGGTGAAACCCCATCTCTACTAAAAATACAAAAAAGTAGCTGGGCATGGTGGCGCGTGCCTGTAATCCCAGCTACTCAGGAGGCTGAGGCAGGAGAATTGCCTGAACCCAGGAGGCGGAGGTTGCGGTGAGCCAAGATCGCGCCATTGCACTCCAGCCTGGGTAACAAGAGCGAAACTCCGTCTCAAAAAAAAAAAAACAAAAACAAGTATCATTAATTTATAACACAAAACACACATGCCAAGTCCTTACATGTGACTGATTTTAAAATTAAGCAAAAAACTTTGAAATATTACATTTTTGATATTTTAATTTATGTTTGATACTTGAAGCCAATGTCAATTAAGTAAGAAACAAATTCTGATTCAATCACATTAAATTTTAAAGGGACTTTCAACATAAGACATAAAATGGAACAAACATACCGACACGGTGCTATCTTGGGGTCTTTTCATTTATCTTGGGGTCTTACATGCTTTTATCATCTTGGGATCTTACATTTCTTTTTTGATTTTCATAATCTAGTGAGGTCGATTGTTATTACCTAGATTAACATTTCTGAATTTGAAGCTGAGAAAGGTTTGTGAACTTGAGTGTCATCAGAATTGCTTGCAGTTTGAAAGAAGAATAAAAAATTTCTGTATCTGAAACGATTTCATTGCTGGCCATAAATAAATGACCACTCGATATGAATAATTTAGTTATTGCTGGCTACACATAATACATACTGAAGGGCCAGACACAGTAGCTCATGCCTGTAATCCCAGCACTCTGGAAGGCTGAGGTGAGTGGATCTCTGGAGCCCAGGAGTTTGAGACCAGCCTGGGTAACATAGAAAGACCCCATCTCTCCCAAAAATAATTTAAAAAATTAGCTGCTTGTGGTGGTGCACAACTACTGTCCCAGCTACTTGGGAGGTTGAGACAGGAGGATTGCATGATCCCAGGAGGTTGAGCCTCCAGTTAGCTGTGACCACACCACTGCACTCCAGCCTGGAGACAGAGTGAGAAGACCCTCTGTCTCCCAAAAAATACGTTTTGAAAAGACAGATAAAATTAGATTGACTTCACATTAGCCATGGTCTGAGTTCTAAACATGCAAACAATTTCACAGATGGAACAGATATCACATAGTCCATCTTTCCTGTTTTTCAGATAACAAATTAAGTCAAGGGAAGTACTCAGTGACTTGACCCAGGTCAAACAGCAAATTGGTGGAGGACCTGTGACTAGAACACCATTCTCTGGATTCCTAGAACAATAATGGTCTAATGTGTTATAAACAGAAACGAGACCGAAACCTGATTTCCCAAAGCCAGAGCAAAATAAGAGTAAGTTTAAATAGATTAAAATCAAAGTTTACTTACTTTCTTTTAGGTATGAGGAAAGACTGTGAGTCAAATCATTGGCCTTGAGGAAACAGGAGCCTAGAAATATGAGAAACATGCTTTACAGAGAATTTTGTAAACACACACACAATCAGATGGATGGTATGTGAGTTATGAGTGATGTATAAGGTTGTAAAACATTAGTGAATTGGAGGCCCATTACATATCTTAAAGTATTGCCTGTATTTAAAATAACAGCAGCAACAGGTAAACTTTTAACTTGTCACAGAGCTACCCATAATTTGTTAGAGCAGTGAAATAGGAGATCGTTACATCCCTCAGCAGATTAATGAAGCACTTATATTTTCCAAATCCATCAAATGGGCACTATAACAAATGCAGAATGAAATGGCTAACAAATCTATGTAAAGATATTCAAACTCACTAGTTATCAGAGAAGGACAAATTAATATAATGTACTTTACACACTCATTAGAATGAAAACTATTGGCAAGATATTTAATAGCAAGTGTTGAGAAAGCAGGGTGATGGAAACTTGTGAACTGTAAGTGGAAGTAGAAACTGGTATAGATATTCTGGAAAGTAGGAATATTAATATGTTTATATCCTATAATCCCATGATTTCATTTCAAGTAAAAGAAAGGAAAGAAATTCTTGTGTGGTCTGTTAAGGCACACACACAAGGACAGTCATCCTGGCATTATTGGTGATACTTGGGTGCTGAAAGCCACCTAGGTGTCCACATCTGGGAAAATGGGTGAGTATATGTGATAGATGGAAATACTGGAATATCATGTTGCATTTAGAAGCAATGAACTAGATATGCATAAAACTATATAGTCACATCTGGAAAACAGTGTCAAGTGAAGAAAAAAAACAGAATAAAAGCCTTAGCACAAAGCCATTTAGATACAATATGTATATATATACACAGCATGACATATTTTATAAGAATATATATATATATATATATATATATATATATATATATATAAAGTACCTATCATATTAGAGTGAATGCCTATAAGGAAAGGAAAATAGAGTTTGGATTAGGGAAGAATGGGAATCAAGTCTCAAAATACAACACAACAGAAAAATAAATACAAGAAAATATAACACGGTAAAATAAAACAGGGGCCTTGACTGAGCAAAATGAAATTGATGTTGTGACCCAGCACAGAGAAGCCATTAAGTGAGGAATTCAAAGCTGTTTTCTCCTATATTGTTGTGGAGCCTTTGGTGGTCTTTAAAACTACAATGTCCCAGGCCTGGATATGATCAGACTCACCTGGAGAACTGAAGATACAGATTCCTGGGATGGAGTCTCTTTTGCAAAGTGAATTAGAATCTCTCCGGGGAGAGCCTGGGAATCTGAGTTTTAAAAAGTTCCTGGGTGACTCCATTGCAGCTAGCCTGTAGGCATGTAGGAGTCACTAATCTAACCTGCACTGCAGCTCTCAGGAGACAGCAGAGAGGTTAATTAGCTCCAGGAGATGCCAGCCTTGAAACCCTAATTAGGTGCCCATGTGTATGACATAAACAATGCGCACAATATTAATTGAAAAGACATGTTCCTGCCCCACAGACACAAACCACCTCAAATCAAAACCAAGTCAGAGGCTCGACAAACTAGATAGGAACAATATGTTGTTATTTATATCTGCCTTATATGTGTATATACAAGGGGATTTATGCCCCTCCTGAAGTGCATTCCAAATAACCTACTGTATCTCCTTTCCCTCCCCAGCTTAGATCTCTCTGTCGTTGGTTTCATCAGTGAAGTCACCAGGACCTGTTCTCCCAAATCTTCCTCTGATGTCTCAGTTTACTGTGTCTTAAATGCCCTAAGTTTTTAAATAAAAATAAAAACCTGTCCTTTTTTGTTATAACATTATTTCACACGTTTTCCTTCCTCCCCAAACGAACCCATGATCCCACATTCTTGCCTAACTATATTACTGAACTCCAATAAAACAGTAATATCAGACAAATTCACTATGGTACTCAGACGACTCCTTAAAACTTTCTTCCGAGCTGTGACTCTAACTCCAGAGAGGAGCAAGGTTTAGTGTTCCATGAGGTTACAGAGCAGCAGTGGTCCCGTTACTCACAAATCCTTCCTAAGTTCAAGTTATGCTCTAACAAAGAACTAGAATGCAAAACCGACCACTGAGTCACAGTAAACATCAGAGTTCAGTCAAAGCTTTAAAAGTGGTTTTGTTAGACTAGTTCCTGTGATTGTGCAGTCAGGACACAGTTTTGACAGCAGAGGCAGTAGTGTGCTGAGGAGACTAGATTGTAACTGCTATCGGAACCGTCTGGGGTTAGGAAGTCTAAAACTCCAGATCCTACTCATGTGCAAATGCACTCCTTCAATTCCCTGAAGGGCAGTCTCCTTGGAAAACAAACAGATGGGGCATTCATGTCTCCAAACCCAATGTGTGTTTTTGAAAAAAGGGTATCACAAAAGAATTATAAAAATTCAGGGAACAGGCCAGGTGCAGTGGCACATGCTTGTAACCCCGTTACTTTGGGAGACCGAGGCAGGTGGATCACAAGGTCAGGAGTTCAAGACCAGCCTGGCCAAGATGGTGAAACCCCATGTCTACTAAAAATACCAGAATTAGCTGGGCGTGGTAGTGGGTGCCTATAATCTCGGCTACTCGGGAGGCTGAGGCAGGAGAATTGCTCGAACCTGGGTGGCGGCTACTGCATTGAGCTGAGATCAGTGCCACTGCACTCCAGCCTGGGTGACAGTGAGACTCCGTTTCAAAAAAAAAATTTCAGGGAACAGATTGTTTTTTTCAGTTTCTCAAGCTTCTAGAAAGCATAAAGTTGTAATGGAAAAAGGAAATCAAGCCACCTTCTACTTTTTCCAAAAGCAATATTAGATATCCCTAGTAGTCTATAAATAATTTGAAGCAATTTTACCAAAACTTTATATGGTTTGATTTTATGACAACATCTATTTCCGCCCATCTTTGTCTACAAGAGTTACAGGATGCGTCATAATTTTGAAATTAATTAAAATTGGTTGTTGAAGCTGGGTGTGGTGGCACGTGACTATAGTCCCAGATGCTATGGAGGCTGAGGTTGGAGGATCTGCTTGAGCCCTGGAGTTTGAGGCTGCAGTGAGCTATGACGGTGCCACTGCACTCCAGCCTGGGTAACAGCAAGACCCTGTCTCTAACATAAATAAGTAAATATTTTTTAAAAGTTGTTGACATTTTGCAATATCTTTTAATTATAAATACACTAAGGCAGTAGATCTAAAATTCTAGTAGGCTTAAGAATCCCTTGAGGCAAAGCATCAGCCTCACAAAACGTGCAGAATTGGATTCCTACCTTTAGATAGTTTGGTTGAAAGAGTCTGGCGTGCAACCCAAAATGCTATCTAAAAACCATGACTAGAAATCTGTGATAACAACAACAACAAAACTAAATTGCTTATTAAGGCTAAAGTTCTTGTCTGTAAGAGTTGAGCAAATCAGTGTTTCATATCTATAAGTTTAAATGTGTACTTTATTTTATTTATTTATTTATTTATTTTGAGCTGGAGTTTCGCTCTTGTTACCCAGGCTGGAGTGCAATGGCGCGATCTCGGCTCACTGCAGCCTCTGCCTCCCGGGTGCAAGTGATTCTCCTGCCTCAGCCTCCTGAGTAGCTGGGATTACAGGCACGCGCCACCATGCCCAGCTAATTTTTGTATTTTTAGTAGAGACAGGGTTTTACTATGTTTGCCAGGCTGGTCTCAGACCCTTGACTTCAAGTGGTCCACCCGCCTAAGCTTCACAAAATTCTGGGATTACAGACATGAGCCGGTGTGCCCAGCCTGAAAATAACGTTTCTTTAAACAATTATTATTATTATTATTATTATTATTAATGGAGATGAGGTCTCACTATATTGCCCAGGCTGGTTTCAAACACCTGGGCTCAGGCAATCCTCTAGCCTCGGCCTCCCAAAGTGCTGGGATTATAGGGATGAGCCACCGCGCCCGCTGGAAAATACGTTAATTGACTGCCTGAGACACCTAACTGTAATAGATGACAGTTATGTTTTACTCCCCGTCACTAGGAACACGGAAGCTTGGCTGTACCTGGTAGGTTCAGTTCTTCCAATTCAATCACCGAGCGACTGCTGCTGTAATAGTCCTTCATCAGCTTCTGCAGGTCTTCAGGGACCCCTGGTTTTGGTTCTGATTTTGCAAGAACATCAGTAATTTTCTTCTAAGATATGAGAAGGAAGAAAAATGGGAAGACATATTTTAAAATGGCATTTGGCTTGGAATAGGTTAGTTCCTCTGGCATTTAAACTGCACATAGCTTTGGGTGTTAGCCACGTGTAAATGTGGATAACTGATCATCGTAAAGTCACCCTGTGGAAAGTAGAAAAAATATTACAGGAAATACTTTCCAACATCTATTTTGATTTTGACTCATTTGTGTAGCATGTATTGAATGCCCGCAGTGTACTAGACACACACAATCATTCATGTATTTCCATCATAAGCCTCCCTTCTCATTTCCTTCTCATGGTCCACCAAAGATCCAGAAGGAGCGTTTCCCACTGCTGACGCCAGCTTTTCCCACTCCTTCCACAATATCCCCATTTTTACATACCTGCCAAGAACGGTCAAGGTGCTGTCAAAGAATTAACTTTTAAAAATATGTCATCAGGGAGCACATTTTAGCGTGACCTCAGTCAAGGCTAAGCTACCCAGCTAGAGTTTTGACCCTGAGCCACCAAGAACTTAACACTCCTGAAGGCCATTAGTGTACAAACTATCAAAGAGAAGTCAAGTCACTTCTTTAAGGACTTGCCAAACCTCAGCCAATTTGGCATCTCCCATGTTCCTCTTCGGCCATTTGTAAGAAAAGAAAACATACGCACACACATTCTCAGCCTTCTAAAAGCTTGCTGTTAAGTAATTGGGTTGAGTCCGTCTTCTTTCCTCTAATCCCAATCGTATTTCTTCTGCTGACTTCAGCAGTAGACTCCTCTTGGCCGGGAGAGAACTACATTGCTGTTCTCACAGCTGTGGGAGAAGGTCACAGCTAACCATACTTTCTCCAAGGCTGAGCCATCAAAAAGTTTGTATAGGAGAAAGAGTCTTTCCTATGCTCACAGGCAAACATCAAAATACAAGGGGGAGCTTTTTGGCCTTAATTTATGGTTCCAAATTAGTCAGAAATGCCCCCATACTACCTTTATCTGCTTATTATTTTCTTTTTATTCATACTTTAAGGTATAAGGTCTTAAAATCTGGAATGAGTAGTAAAAGGAGGCTGGTATATTTCTTTTCTTGGACAGAGACTGAAGGGCTGGGGGAGGTTAGCTCTGGACTCCTTCTAGAATTAGAAACCTACATCTGACATCTGACCACACTGAAAACATAGGGTGGGTAACAAAGATATTTGCTACTCCACAAAATGAAATAGGAGTCAGAAGAATTTATTCTTAGCTCCAACAGAAACACTTATTACTAGTGACCTTCAGAAAGTCACCAAACCTCAAGGACTCTTACAATGTCTGCCTCTCTCAGGTGGGGATTACAATAGTTGCCTCATGAAAGTATGATATATAATATATAAAAATGTGATAAATTATTAATATTACCTTTCTCCTCTTCCTGGTCTTGGTGGTATTGTCTTTTCTTTCCTTTGGTTGTATCAGAAAACATTCTTTAGGCTATTAAGAAATACAAGTGAGAAAATTTTAATCTTTGCATGATAAAGTGGCATGTCAATTCGTGGTGTGAACCCCAAAGTACTTTCTGCCGTGCGTGTATTCTTCAGGGTATCCTGGTAACATTCTACAGAAAGAGGCGCTGGAAGACCTACTGGAGGTCATTGCGCAGCGGCTGGGCTGAGGGAATTTGAGAAAGTCAGAAAGTGCAGATGACTTAAGACTGGAAAATCCTTGAACATCGAATGTGTGCGTGAGCGTCTATGTGTGGCTGGTGTGGAAGGGCAGAGTACTGGGTTTGTGCCATACAGGCAGAAATTGATGTCATTAAACTTAAGATGTGGTAAGACAGTCTTTGACTAGAGCGACTAGGGTTTTCCGTGAACCAGCTGTGTGTGAGCCTACATTTCCAAGTTACTAGTCATTGTTTTGTATCCTCCATTCCTGTCCTCTTTTCAGTAAGCATAGAAAATCCAAAGTAGGATCTATTTCCTTACGTTTTTAAACCAGCTGCAGCAAATGCCTTTAAATGCCTACAAAATAAATGTCTCTGCTGATAGTCTGATACGGTCTCAGCACCATAATATCTGGAGTAATCTCTTTTGCCTGTTGCCTTGACCCCTGAGTACCCTATACAGTTTAGCGTTATTTTTACCCTGAGGTGTTTTTTTTTTTTCCTAATGTAGAAAAACAGGAAATTTGGATTAAGACCTTGATTTATAAAATAGAATGCCCCAGATTCCATATTTATTAATCATAAGCAGGCGTAGAAAATGTTTCCTGTGCTGGCCTTTTTTATGCAACATTGTCAAACAAGTTGCCAAGTAAGATATAAAATGTAAGTGAAAACTTAAATTCTGAGTTTTCCTCGATTAACTTTCCACTCCAACCAGAGAAGACTTAGTTTAAACTGATAAGCTACTAACTAAAGCAGTCTTGTCTCCACTGGCTCTGCTAAAATGATTACAGATGAATCTTTCTATGAAAGCTTGCAGACAGCCTGGAGATTGAGAATGTCTACGGCCTGAAGTCAGAGAGAAAGATATAATGCTACATAATTTATTCAAGACATGGGGCCAAAGACCAGCAGTTTCAAGATTCTCTTTTAGTTATTACAGAAATGGATTTTAAAAGTTCAGGATTAAAGTGACATGGGAAATCTTGAAATTTTAGCTTCCTCTCAGATAAAAAACCCACGAAGAGCGATTGCATCATAGCTGAAGAAAACAGAGATATGGCCTCTCTTATTTAGAAAGTTAAACTGTACTGTGGATGTAGATACATGCCAATTTGATGCTGGTACATGCCAATTAGAAACGGTGCCAAGGCCACTAATATGTCACAGAAGCTGCCAGATGGCCATAAGAGTACAATTACAAACCAGGCCAACATTCAGCTCATGTTCCAAAGGCAAAGGCCAGGATATGATTAGCAGTTCCCTTAAACCGTACTACGTTATCTCCACCAGTATCAAGGTTTTGGGGAAGCATATTTAGAAACCTGTTACATTTTCTTATTTAGTGTATGAAGGTTCTCGAGGAATACATTCAGTGTACTGGTTGTATTTGTGCTAGGTTTACAAAGCCAATTAGATAAAGAGTGACATCAATTAAATCTAGAAATGAGCTCAACTGTAAGAATATGGACTCTTTTATTCTTGGAGAAAAAATAAAAATGTAATTCTGAATCATGCATAGGAAAAAAGAAACACGCTTGATGAACTGCTTTAGCCATGATACTGCCTCAGGTTTAAATGTTAGGCTCACATTCTTACATTATCCTAAAGGAAATACAATATAATCTTTGGTGTTTGGAACTAGTTACTTTAGCTGGCTGTGGTAGGTGCCAATGAAGAGGCCAATTTTGAAGGAGTCAATTTGCATAGAGGTGAGATGACTTTATGGAGAAATCCAAATCCATAGTACTGAAAATTTTTTTTTTAAGAGATGGGGTCTCGCTATGTTACCCAGGCTGGAGTGCAGTGGCTATTCACAGGCGTGATCCCACTACTGATCAGCATGGGAGTTTTGACCTGCTCCGTTTCTGACCTGGGCTGGTCCACCCCTCCTTAGGCAACCTGGTGGTCCCCTGCTCCTGGGAGGTCACCATATTGATGCTGAACTTAGTGCAGACACCCGATTGGCATAGCGCACTATAGCCCAGAACTCCTGGGCTCAAGTGATCCTCCCACCTCAGCCTCCCGAGTAGCTGGGACTACAGGCACGCGCCACTGCGCCCGGCTGAAAATTCTTAAATTTAGTTAACTGCTTTATTAATGCTGCTGTTTACCCTCAGAGAGACGGGGTAGGAAGAATGTGAAGAATCTGGCCAAGCCACTAAGCATTTCTGGAAACCAGCTCCAACACTGTGTGACTTTGACAGTTGATAGCAATGCCATTTCTTTATATAAAACGTAGCAACTTAAAATATGTAGTCTGAAGAATCAAACTCCCCTAAAAATGTTGCTTTTAAGGGAAGCAACTGGGGCATATTTTCCAATTCCTTAAACTATCAAAAATTCCATTATTTAAGAATGATTCTCCTGGTTAAACATGGCAAATGGGGCCGGGCGCGGTGGCTCAAGCCTGTAATCCCAGCACTTTGGGAGGCCGAGACGGGTAGATCACGAGGTCAAGAGATCGAGACCATCCTGGTCAACATGGTGAAACCCCGTCTCTACTAAAAATACAAAAAAAAAAAAAACAAAACATGGCAAATGAACCTCAAAATGCCAGTAAACTGAAAATAAAGGAGGTTGGAAAGGACCTGTTGAGCAGGATCTATGTAAAACCCAAGAAACCAGGAGAGAGAACAACAGTAATGGAGCAATTTCGACAACTTTTTGGAAAATGGAAAGTGGCTGGAGCTGGAGAGAAGTGACTTGGCAGAGACAGAACGCATCTGGGTTTCTGAAGGGGTGAAAGCTAACAGTAAGTGAGTCTTTGACCTGTTGAACTTTAAGAAGGTTTCACTACTTGGAGGCACAAAGGACTACAAAGAGTGAAGGGTTAAAAAGAAAGAGATTGGCTGAAAGTTTATATTTAGAACGACTAGCTACCCCCATCCCCCACTAGGTGGTATCTCCTACCCTGGTAGCCAAGCAACTATCCCATTACTGCTTCCTTTCACCTTGCCTGTTCTAGCTGCCGACTGGAGATCTATTCTCTAAAGAGATCAAGAGGATCAAGGCTGGGCCAGGGGAGAGAGAGCAGAGGCTGAGGCTTGCCTCCATTTCCTGCCCCTATTCCATGCTTATATATAGCAGGCAGGAGACTACTGAATTCTTCTTCAGAAAAATGGAGTGGCCTAAAAGAAATACCATCAGAGAGTGACATTTGGGAGTTCCATAGTAAAAAAATCCAGCTTGTCATCCTATCACCCTACCATGAAGTACACTAATCAACAAACCCCACTCATCAGACATCTAAGGTTCATCAGACATCTAAGGAAAGTCTCCAACACAGGAGCAAATAAATAACAAAAAGAAAAATGAACCTGGAGAAAAGTGGAATGGTACCTCAAAATAATGACAATGAATATCCTCAGAGAGATAAGGGAAGATTTTGCAGCCATGAAATAAGAACAAGATGCTATAAAAATGGGAAAAACAGTTAAGCACTAAAACAAATAAGAAAGGTGGGACAAAAAATATACAAGAAGGCTGGAAGATAAAGTAGAGCCAGTCTCCCAGAAAGAGATGAAGAATGGGTGGGTGGGGGGGAAAGTGGTGAGAAAATCAGAGAATCAACCCAAGAGATTCAATTTTCCAATAAATGGTATTACAGAAAAAAAGGTCACATAAAACAGTAGGGGGCTTGGCATTGTGTCTCATACCCGTAATCCTAGGGCTTTGTGGGGCCAAGGTGGGAGGACTGCTTGAGGCCAGGAGTTTGAGACCAGTATTCCTGGTTACATGGTGAGACCCCTTCTCTACAAAAAAAAAAAAAAAAAAAAAGGCCAGCACACAGTGGCTCACACCTGTAATCCCACTTTGGGAGGCTGAGGCGGGTGGATCACGAGGTCAGAAGTTTGAGACCAGCCTGACCAACATGGTGAAATCCTGTTTCTATTAAAAGTACAAAATATAGTAGGGCTTGGTGGCACATGTCTGTAATCCCAACTACTCAGGAGGCTGAGGCAGGAGAATCACTTGAACCCAGGAGGCAGAGGTTGCAGTGAGCCCAGTGAGCCAAGATCACGCCACTGCACTCCAGCCTGGGTGACAGAATGAGACTCCATCTCAAAAAAACCAAAACCAAAACCCAAAACAAAAATAACAACAAAAACTAGCAACTTGGGAGGCTGAGACAGGAGGACCTCTTGAGCCCAGGAGTTCAAGGTTGCAGTAAGCGATGATTGCACCACTGCACTCTAGCATGAATGACAAAGTGAGACCCTTGTCTCTTAAAAAGGAGTCATCATAGAAATAAGGTATGACAAAAAAAAAAAATCATATATGACAAACTTGTGTTGCCTGAAGGAAACTTTCTAGAACATGAAACTCCAAATTGAAAGCCTGTTAGGTATAGGGTACAACAAATATGAAAAGTACCCATACCAAGGAGCATCACTGTGAAATTTCAGAAAATCATGGACAAAGAAGATTCCAAGAATTTCTCCTCCAAAATAGTAACATATAAAATACAAAAGATCAGAAAAAAGAATAGTGTCCAGACCTCTAAAAAGCAATAATGGATGCTAGAACTTAATGGAACAATGCTTTCAAAATTATGAATAAAGTTTATTTGTAAATTAAACTTTTATACCCAGCCAAAGTATCAATCAAGTGTCGAATAAAGACATATTCAGATATATAAAGTCTCAAAAAATTTACTTCCTACCTACAGATACTGAAGACTGTTTCAGAATACAAAGGGTGAAACCAAACAAAAGGAAGATATGAAATTTAGCCAAAAAGGAGTCCAACCCAGGAGGGTACTGAAGGGGCATCCTAGGATGACAGTTAAGAGGTGTCAATTGTCAGTGAGCCTGGAGAATAACAA